GCCCCACCTCAGTCATAGAGGGCTGGTGTCAAGCATAGTTTAGCTTCAGCTTCCTTCAACACACTTATCTGGAAGACAACCCCCCCCCCCCCCCCCTCCTCTGATTTTTTTTTCCAGCCTTAGCGGCAGGCCTTTATTTTACACAGATCTACCAACTAACTACCTGTGGTGTTCTTTCAAGAACAAATCTCGTGACTGCAGTATTAGAAGATGAGATCGCATTTATGTTAAAGCCTACGAGCATGCGGATCTCTTTGCTTGTGTGCCGATTTCCTCTGCTCTAGCACAAAACTTTTTCCACACCCCCTCAAATTAAATGAAGTGTGATTTATGTAGTTTATGTAACGAGTACGTCTCCAACATTTATTTTTTGCTAGGAATATTTATGAATGTCTCCAATAGGCCTACAGAGCGGGATTAATGCGTCCTAAAGTGAAGTTAAATGGCTATACATCGTGTTTGCTGGCCTCACGCATCATGCACCTGTCTGTCAGTCAGCATGTCACCTTAAAGGGTTAAACAACGCACAGCACTACTACGGTTACAGAAAAGTTTGCGCTGTTATAATTCACTTACCCTTTAATAAGTTTTGGTGCGATTATCACCCGCTTTTAAAAAAATTAAATGTTTTAAATAAAAAGCTGTAATGTATCTGTGGCGGGATGAATTTTGGCGTGCCGCCTCGCCATGGAAGAATGAATGTAGTGGAAACCATGGATGTTTTATCAGCATAACTTAAACATTCTTAAATGTATAATCCCACACCTCACATTTTTGAACCGTTGCATACAGAAATACTTGTGTTGCTAAAATAAATGTTACTTCAGGGATTCTTCTGTTATGTTAAAAATAACTAATCAAATTTCTTACCTTCTCTTCCAGGCTTTGTGGTGTTTGCGACAGCTGTCATCATCATAGCTCTCATATTCATCTTCGTATTGGGTCCTCGCCACGGCCAGACCAACATCCTGGTCTACATCACCATCTGCTCTGTGATTGGGGCCCTGTCCGTCTCCTGCGTCAAAGGATTGGGCATCGCGATTAAAGAGGCCATCGCTGGGAAGCCAGTGTTGCGAAACCCACTGGCCTGGCTGCTGCTTCTGAGCCTAATAGCTTGTGTTAGCACGCAGATCAACTACCTGAACAAAGCGCTGGACATCTTTAACACGTCTCTAGTGACGCCCATTTACTACGTGTTCTTCACCACCTCGGTGCTCTCCTGCTCTGCCATATTGTTCAAAGAATGGGAGCACATGGGCGTCGATGACATCATTGGCACCTTGAGTGGCTTTGTTACAATTATCGTGGGCATTTTCCTTCTGCATGCCTTTAAGGACGTTAGCATTAGCTTGGCGACTCTGGCTGTGTCCATCAGGAAGGACGAGAGGAATGGCCCTGTATCCAACGGCATGGCGGCTCACAACCACTCCAATTACGAGCTGCTACGTAATGAAGTCACAGAGGACTTTGAGGACCGAGAGCCCGGGTTGCCTTTCGACAGCGTTTCCAGAAGAAACGGCACCATGACGGTCTCTTAGGTTCAAGGAGGAACCCAGAGAAAATGTTTCAGCTGCTCTGTGGACATTTAGTGTTTTTATTTTCCTTTTAAGATATGAAATAAAACCTAAGACAATCAACTCTAAAAGCAAAAAAGAAAAGAAAGAAAAAACAGATGGACCAATCGATTGTACTAAAGGTTTTGTTTTTTGTTTGTTTTGTTTCAGATTAGACTACATGGTATGCTTCATCTCATTCCTCATGTAGCACTGTAAATATACAACTGTACGTTTTTAAGAGACTTTTGTTATATTTTATGTACAGATATCTGTATTTACATGCACTGAGTTTCTTTCTACGAAATCGTAGTTGCTTTGAATTTGTAATAAAGTCATAAAAGGGTACTGACCTTGAGAAGACCTTGTCAGTTCATCAACAGTGAAATAGGGTATATGCCGAGCTAGTGCTGTTCCCATGCTGATACACTTCCGGTTACCTGTTATTGTAAACTTTTTCCCATTTTACACGGTTCCTTATACAGCATCGATGTTGTGATGTCATTAAAATACACTCAGTTAAATAAACTTTAGCATTTATTTAGTTGTTCGAGCGTAAAACGAGACAAAAAGCTGTTTACTCGCACGCGCCCGTCAGAATCAGAAGGCTAACGCAGAAATAAATGCTCATATTATAAAGATATGGCGGGGAACATGTAATTTAATGCAGTGCTTCTTGTACAATCTGAGACCCAATTTATAACGGATATCATTTAGCTAGTGGAGATCGCTGATTTTTTAAAGAAAACAGACCTTAAACGCGACGGATTTTGCATTGGCATTCAATTCGCCGGAAGCGCATAACCCAGGTTAATGGCAAATTAAAAGTCCTATTAGCATGCTTCGGCATATACTCCATTAATCTACTGTAAATTGATAGCTAAAAAGACTATATATAAATAGTAGTGTAGATCCAAAAGTTGTTTTCTTCCAGCTAAAAACCTCTTGAAGTTTTACACCCGAAAATAAGGGTAAAACGTTTGAAGTCTTATGACAGTTTCTCACATCAACCAGAGGTGAGTTAATGCTAGCACATGAAAATCCATTACATTATTGTCTAATTATGCCATTATGAAACGGCAAAATTTGGTCAACGAGAGTAAAATTTAAACAAAGATACAAACAAATTGAGCTACAATGAGTGATTGTTGGTGTTCTAGCGGCTGTACATTTTTTATTATCTTTCTCTACGTTTCTTTGTGGCTTTGACGAGTCACGCAGTTATGATGACTAAAGTTACTCCGCGCCCGGGAAAATAGTCCCAATATAAACACTCATCGTAGAGATTTTGGGACTATATTATTAAATGACGTTCTCTGCCGGGAACAGGAAAAAGACTCGACGAAGCAAGAAAACTATTTGTGACCAGACTGAAATAACGACATAATAATATGTGCACTATCAATACAGATTGCGAATTATGCTTTATATTTTGCCTGTATAAAATGAGGTCGTCTTGTCACAAAACATTAATGAAATATCGACAAGCACGTTTCTAGTTCATTGCAAGCCCTAAGTCTCAGGTGAGTGTGTAATTTGTATTTTTTATAACATGGCTACTTAGTTGAAGACAAATGATTAGCCCCTCTGAAAGGAAATATATTTAAAGTACCGTCTGACGGAATGAAGGTTTTCCCAGCAAATGTAATCAACCGTTTTATAACCAATTTCTTTTGACTTTGACGATGACAGTACACAATATTTTACAATACACTTTTAAGTATTCAACAAAGTGCAATTCAATGGCTTAATTGGGTTGAACTCATATGACAAGTCGTTTACAGTCATCGGCCACTTTATTAGGTACAACTACTTTATTACTGTCCAACTACTATTTAACGCAAATGTCTAATTTGCCAATCACATGGCAGCAACTCAATGCATTTTAGGCATGTAGACATGGTCAAGACAATCTGCCGCATTTTAAACTGAGCATCAGAATTGGGGAAAAAAGGTGGTTTAAATGACTGTGGCATGGTTGTTAGTGCCAGACAGGGTGGTCTGAGTATTTCAGAAACTGCTAATTTATTATGTACAACCATTTTTAGGGTTTACAGAAAATGGCCAGCAGTTCTGCGGGTACAAATGCCTTGTTGATGTCAGAGGAGAATGGCCTGGCTGATTGAAAGGCAACAGTAACTCAACCACTCATTACAACCAAGGTATGCACAAGAGCATATCTGAATGCATAACATGTCAAACATTGTGGCGCATGGGCTACAGCAGCAGAATACATTGACCAAAATTAGACAATAGAAGATCAGAAAAACTTTGTCTGGTCTGGTGAGTCTTGATTTCTGCTGCGACATTCGGATCATAGGGTCAGAATTTGGTGTCAACAACATGAAAGCATGAATTTGTCCTGCCTTGTATCAAGGGTTCAGGCTGGTGGTGGTGGTGTAATGGTGTAGGGGATGTTTTCTTGGCACACTTTGAGCCTATTAGTACCTGTTGAGCATTGTGTCAATGCCACATCCTACCTGAGTATTGTTGCTGACCATGTCCATCTCTTTATGACCACAGTGTACCCATCTTCTGATGGCTATTTCCAGCAGGATTACATGCTGTCATAAACTATGAATCATCTCAGACTGATTTCTTGAACGGCAATGAGTTCACTGTACTCGAATGGCCTCCACAGTCAAATCTCAATCCAATAGAGCACCTTTGGGAGGTGGTGGAACAGGAGACTGGCATTACGGATGTGCAGCCAACAATTCTGCATCAACTGCATGACAAAATGTCAATTTGGACCAAAATCTCTGAGGAATATTTCCAGTATCTTGTTGAATCTATGCCATGAAGGATTAAGGCAGTTCTGAAGGCAAAATGGGTACGGGGAGTGTATGTAGCCAATTGAAAAAAATATATATAGACCTTAGCAGTTTTTCATTTAGATTTTTTTTGCTATTTACTCCATCCGACCAATCACACCACAAAAAAATATAATAGAAAATATTTAGAAAAATGTCCTTGCTCTTTTACACATTACTTTGGAAATTTTCTCTTTATTATATATTGAAGATAAAAAGCAGGAAACTAAAGAAACCTGAATTTGATACATTTTTTATTGAATTAAAATTTGATTACACAATTCAAATACAAAAAAGGCACGTTTATGAGGAGTAAGAACTTGGCTACGCTTAAAGTTTTATTAAGTATAATAGAAGAAAAAAAAACTTGCATGCAATCATTCAACACCACATAGAAAAAATACCGCTGGACTCGCACTACAGCAAAAGCTTAAATAACCCTTTGATAAAACCCACTTGGCCATTTTGGAACCATTCCCCACTGCTGTTCCCAAGTATAAAACATGAGTAGTGCTGTGCTATCATTAACATATAAAAGATTATAGTCAATTTATCTATAATAAGGCACGAGTGTGTGTGTATGTGTGTGTTTATGTGTACAAAAAAAATCAACCTGAAATACGCTAGTAAAACTGAGCCATGTTTGTGTACATCATAAACATATCTTGGCCTGATTAACCAAAGCCTGAGTAGGGTGCAGTAATTGGTGCAAATCAAATCACTCGACCAATCACAAGGCAACTTACTGGCTCTGCAGAAACTACAGGGTGGCATAAGAAAGGCATCATTAAGTAGAATGTGACAGTGAAACTGGTCCTAAACACGTTGCTAAATATTTCCCTCTCTTTTCCCATCTCTTCCACTTCAAACTGGTGCAAATGAACAAATAAATCTCAGTTACTGGCCAAAGACTGATGGATGGGAGGCTGAAAGCACCGCACGTGTTCTACTGGCATGTTCTCTCCATCTCCAGACTTCAGGTACTTGTTCAAAATGGCGAAGATCTCATCGTTCAGAATCTGGAATTTGCGAATTCGGTCAACCATTTTCTTCAGAGGCTATATAGTAGGAGGAACAACAACAACAAACATGCTTTAGATAAAGTAACATGAGAAATACATCAAAGCAAAGCCACTAAAACTCACCACGCTCTTGATGATCTCATCTTTACCGTCGTGTTTCTGCACCTTCAAGAGATGGTAGCTGAAGTCCAGGATGTCAAAGCGTCTGTGCTGACCGAGTAAAGTGATGATCATGCAACCAGCCCAGTTCAGACCGTCTCCGAAACATTGCCTAGATAGAAGATTCAATACTTCAATATCACAATATTTGAAAATTATTACTCAAGTTTAGTTGAAGTGCTTTCTGGGCATGGGCCGGTATAAGATTCTGACCATATGATAACCTTGGATAAAAATATTACGGTATCAAGGTATTGTGATTACTGCTCAAAAATAGATTCTTTTTAAATGTCTGGGTACAAAACAAATACTTTTTCCCCTTTGAAAACAATATATTTTATTTTTTGAAAGATTTGTAACATTTTGGAGCAGTAAACATGTCAGGCTAAATAATTCAGATGAATCTTTGACTTCTGCTGTCTTCATTAGTTTCAGAAAGACAGATTTAAAACAGCATCTTTGGATATATTTTCTTCTGAAGATACTGTTGTCCTAAAAATAATAATGATAAAAAATAAATAAATAAAAATGTAAATAGAAACGGTATTACATATGATTTTGGTGGTTTTAAACCTTGACTTTTCCAAACCGCGGTATACCTTGAAAACGGTTAACGTCCCATGCCTAGTGCTTTCTCATAATAATTATTGTTTGAATTACAATAGGGTTTGCACTTTAGTACCAATCGGTACTGAAATTTTCTCGCTAATATTCCAGCGCTATTAAACACGTTCCTAAACAGCGCTGATTTGCCATAGTGTTCACGTGCTTAACAGAAATGACAGTGATTGACCGTGAAGGTCATCGGTTCACTGAACTCACAACTGTTAACCGATTGTAATCACAGATACAGGGACATTGGAGCTTTTTAAAGCTGCGGTTCATCTGTGGATCGCTCTTATGTCAGCATATAGACAACCCAGCTGATCGACGTGGCTTTGAAATGCACCAGTGTCCCTGTATCTGTGACCACTCAGTAAACAGCTGTGAGTTTGGTGAACTGATGACCTTCACAGCCAATCGCAGTCATTTCTGTTGAGCGTGTGAACACAATGGCAAATCAACGCTGTTTAAAAACGTGCCCAACAGCGCTCAAATGTTACCGGGAAATGGACGTTTTTAAAATTTCAATATCAATTGATACTGAATTCCAGTATCGTGCAATCTTGCATTACAACTAAATTTGAAAAAGTTGAGGTTATTACTTATCATAACTTTATTAATTATTAATAACTTTAATTAATTAACTAATCACTAATAACAGTTAAAGTTATTATACATAAACACAGTTACCTTGCAGTTATATAGTATAAAGGTGATATGTATGTGTGCATGTTTAATGAAGTGTATTTGTGTATGTCAATGATGATTCTCTATGATTCACTCACTCAACAGTGAACTCATGTGCGCCCACAGGGATGCAGTACACAAACTGCATTGCGCTCCACAGCCGGTGAAACTCCACACACTCGTCTACATGCATCACTCCATTGCTGGGTAAAGGCCCACGCCAGATCGGGTCGTCCAGGTAAGCGCGGACGCGTGTCAGAATAACCTCAAATATGGAGAGTCCGCAACACAGACGCTCTTTAGTCAGCAGGTCTCCCTCACGGGCGATGGCGATTTGCTGTGGAGAGATTGTACAGGGTATTCACTCAAACCTGAACAGTAGTGAAGAGCACTTATATCTGCATATAGATAAATCCCACATGACTAGACGGATTTGACCCCTAACAGTGCTGGGTTGTTGTACTTACCAGCTGATGCCTTTACTAATTTCAAGTAGACTGGTGAACATTTAGGGAAGTTACATTTTAGATCACATATCTTTGGATTACTTTTGACTTAACCTGAATTTTTAGTTTGGTATGGTCACCAGATTTAGACACATGGATTAAAAATCAAGAATCTATAATCAGAATAATAAGTACAAATTATAATATTGTGGGGTAAAAAGGGCAAAAATACTAAATTAATGAAGAAAATTGAAACAGATGTCAGTGGTAAAGTCAAATTATGGCACTCATGATTTCATTAATGTCCCATAAAATTAAAATCAAGTTTTTTTTTTAGATGTTAGTATCGATATTGTTAGTTTTTAAGATATCTATAAGCTAGTGTGCTCCAAAACAGTGACAAAATTCGCATTTAGAAAATATAAAACTGAAATAAACATGTGAAGATTGTAATTTCACTTCTATGTGGATGAAGGGTTTATTCACCTCCCCTTATACTACAGTTTTTCATCAAATCATGACCAATCAAAGGCTCTCATGTCATAAATGTCTCATGGCTCTCATCTCATGCGGGGCATGTCATAAAATCTGACATGCCCCGCCTCCTTCAAGATGCTTCTCATTTGCTTTCAATTTGATGCTCTTGAGCTCAACCACTCTCACTGTCAGAGCGGTGATAAAATGCTATTGGCCGTTTTAAAAAATGGGATGGGCTACACTGTCCCACCCTGGGGTGTTCCGATTGAGATAAAAATTAAAATATTAACAATAAAAATGCACATTTCAAAGCACTTCACGGGATCCTTAATGTCAACTTTTGAAATGACCAGTCCAAAATCCTAATTACCCTGCCAGTTTGATTGAAAAATCAGTGACCATTCAAAATTACTACACAACCTGACAAAGGTCTTGTTGCCTATCCAAGTTTAGGAACAACAAATAATAACTTGACTTCTAGTTGATCATTTAGTACCAGGAGGCAAAGGCCTCTAGATTGTGCTTATTTTACCAAAATAAAATGTAATCATGACTTGATTTTTAATATTTAATTAGGACAGTAAGATCTGACTTTGCTAAGACAAACGTCTTGTCACTTAACATAAATAATTTATAGGATAGAATATAAAGTTATGGTGCAGTGGAAATAGAATTAATATTGTGAATGACTCCCATGAGCTTGGAGGACTGCATCCATACATCTCAGCAATGACTCAAATCACTTATTAATAAAGTCATCTGGAATGACAAAGAAAGCGAACTTGCAGGACTCCCAGAGTTCATTAAGATTCTTTGGATTCATCTTCAATGCGCCTCCATCTTACCCCAGATATGCTCAATAATGTTCATATCTGGATACCGGGCTGGCCAATGCTGGAGCACCTTGACCTTCTTTGCTTTGGAGCTTTGATGCGGAGGCTGAAGTATGATAATGAGAAGCGCTATCCTGCTGAAGAATTTGCCCTCTCCTGTGGTTTGTAATGTACTAGGCAGCACAAATGTCTTGATACCTCAGGCTGTTGATGTTGCCATCCACTATGCAGATTTCTCGCACACCCCCATATTGAATAACCCCAAACCATAATTTTACCTTCACCAAACTTGACTGATTTCGATGAGAATCTTGGGTCCATGCAGGTTCCAATAGGTCTTCTGCAGTATTTGTGACGATAGGGATGCAGTTCAACATGATTTAGCAGAAAAATTTACCTTCTACCTTCTGAAGTCAAGTTGTTATTTTTTGCTTTTACAACTGGGATCGACGACAAGACTTTTGTCAAGTAGTGTAAACTGTTTAATATTGACTATGTTAAGTAAAAATTATAAAAACAGTCATGACATGCTTCAAAACTGTGATATTTGAAGATTAATAACTTTAAAAAATCAAGCTGAAATCGTGACATAAATGTCGGTTTTTGGTTGAAATTATGACTTATTACCAAAGTATTTTTTTATGTTGCATAAAAAACAGCTCTCCTAAACATTAGAAAGAAAGCAGCAAAAAAAAAAAAAAAAACCTTCAAACTTTTTGGTTACAAACTGACCAATAACAGCTTGTGATCAATGAAGAACTAAGCCTCTCTGAAGCAATTTTTGGCAGAAATCCCCATTTGTTGTTTAATAAATCAATTTTCCCATTACTACCGACACAACGCATCAATAATAAATGAATCTGGAGGGCTCAGAGATGAGATCAAAGCAGCGGTTAAGTGTGTAATTGGAGATGCTAATGACAATAAGTAGACGTGTTTGCCGGAGGCGGTAAAGCAGCAGAGCAGGACCAAAGCGGCTGTTCACCCACCTGAGGGGTTCCCAGACGTTCAATCAGAGGCACCAGATGCAGCGCTGTGTATTTGGCCTCCAAACGCTTCATCTTTGCATCCAGACGCTCTCCTTCTGCATAAGTGAATTGTGGAGGGATTATTACACATGTATGAGGAACACAAAGCATGCTCAAAATACTGAATATCCTTGGCAAACACACAAAAGTGAGCTTACCTTTGACGTGAACCCTTGGTAGGATGTTCTGGAAGGGAGCTGCGTGCAACAAGTCGCACACCTCCTCTTGGGACTGCATTAAAGAGAGGAACTCATTATAGAAAATGAAGCCCAAAGAGAACGAAAAGCTGAGCAATCAATGGAAGTGTGGAGAGTCAAAGCCTGAGTTAAATTCAAATAAGCAGGCTGAGTTAAAGGTCTTGGGAAATTAAAATAACATTTTTTAAGATTTAAGCACAAGTTTTAAGGATATCTATAAACTAGTGTGGTTCAAAACAATAAAAAAAAATGCATTTACAAGATATAAACTTCAAAACTTAGTAGATTTTCCACTTCCGCCTAAATGGATCAACAATTTTTTTTCATGTCATCTCATATTCTCATCACATCTTGACCAATCAAATGCTCTCTACTAACTGATATGTCCCGCCCCATTCAAGACGCGTCTCATTTTCAATCTATTTGATTTGCTAGAGCTCAACTCCTCTCATTGGCAGAGCGGTAATCAAACTAAATGGTATGGGGAAGTGGTCCCACCCTCTCTTCATGTTAAAGTTTAGACAATATTTTAAATATTAAATAAACTGCACATTAAATAGAACCTCACTGGACCTTTAAATATTTACTGTTGCTTTGATAGTTACATAATCACAGAAATTTTATGAATATATTAAAGGGATAGTTAACCCAAAAATGAAAATTCTGTCGTAATTTAATCACCATTTACTTGATTTAAACCTTCATGAGTTTTTTCTTCAGTCAAATGTTAGAAACCTGTAACCAATGACTTCCAAAGTATTTGTTTGTACTATAGAAGTCAATGGTTACAGGTTTTCAGCTTTCTTCAAAAATCTTCCTTTGTGTTTAACAGAAGAAACTAATAAGGGTTTGCAATCACTTGAGAAAGAGAAAATAGTGAGTAAATATTCATTTTCTGAGTGATCTATGCTTTAATGGAATGTCCAATCTGTTAGCATTACTTAACGCTATAGAGATCATGAATTAATGGACAATTTTTGAATTATTTATATAATACTCAAAGCTAATTTAAATAATTTATACAACTTGAAAAGTTAAAAATGTAGACATTAAACAAGAATATATCAGACAAAAGCCACATTTCATCACCCTGTATTACTGTGCATTTTGAAATATCACATGAGAAACAAGTAACGGAAACAACAGATTTTGAATAAAAATAGCTTACTTTGTAAAAAAAAAAAAAAAAAAAAAACTCACACTCACTTGAGGTGGTTTTAAGCTTGTGCAATAAATGTTCATGCAAACAATGGGATAAAACGCATTTGCTGAATAAACCCATAGCGAACATTACACCCATGTGACTAATCAGCTGTCTCCATTATGGTTGCCTTGTTTACTGTTGGTTACCAAGTTACCAATACTGCAGTCAGCTGCTCTAACTTGAAATGCACCCAATTCGCATTTGGGATTTCCTTGAAAAGAATTACTTCAGATTAAGATGTAAACCTGGCTATTGAATGTAATGTGGTAAATGTATCGTCAATCAAACCTTTCAGATAGAAACTGTAGAGCTAATATACTAAACTTTTTTTTTTCTATTCTATAGACCAGTGGTTCTCAAACTTTTTTCATTAAGTACCACCTCAGAAAAAAATTGTCTCTCCAAGTACCACCAAAATGAGCAGTATTGAATTACAGTAGCGTAGTCGGCTCAGTAAAGCGGCTACAACTCTGCACAGTTAAAAAAACGTGGCAGATTACCTCAGAAATATAGGCTATATGTCTTATATGGCATATTATATACATCATTTTTGATAAATTTTGAAATATATGTTGCATGTACATGACATATTTTATTCCTCCGCGTACCACTAGAAGGAAGCCCGCGTACCACTAGTGGTACACGTACCACAGTTTGAGAACCAATGCTATAGACCTTTTTCGTTGCTGCATTGAGGATGCCATAGCGACCAGCGTCTTCAAGGTAGGATGCCTAGAACTTCAGTTTACAGTGTTTACAACTGGTAAATATTGATCCGAAAAAGGTTATCAATACCGTTTTGAGTGGCTTACGGAGTGTTTTTGTGATCCACAACTTTGATTTTGAAAGGTGTGTTATAAAGCTGGTATAGCCTACTTCTGCCAGACGTGGTTCAAGCATGAGAGAAAAACATTCTCCTAATTCAGCGTGTGCCATCAGACAAGATGCTAAAATATATTATTAGTGTTCCTGGTGATCTGTCAGCCGTTATACTGTACTCTGCCGGCTTTTCAAAGCACACCCATCAAACACGCATGCATCACACACAATACATCCCTACATTGTAGAGCCTTGCCGGGTTTAGCGCCAACTTGCCTCAATACACCTGCCTGGGTGTTTCAAGTATACCTAGTAAGACCTTGATTAGCTTGTTCAGGTGTGTTTGATTAGGGTTGGAGCTAAAATCTGCAGGACACCGGACCTCCAGGAACAAGTATGTTGATCCCTGTTATAAAGCAAACCATATTACTGGCATGAATCTTAACAGGTATGTAACGTTAAGCTGTTTATTTTTTTGTAATCCAAAAAAATAAAAGTACGTTACTGATACTATACTGACTGATTTGCATGTTGATTCTAATTAGGAGCTGTTCATGTTTCATTTAGTTCCGGGGTGGCCAACCCTGTTCCTGGAGAGCCACCTTCCTGCAGATTTCAGTTGCAACCCATATCAAACACACCTGCCTGTAATTATCACGTGGTGTTCAGGTCCTAATTAATTGGTTCAGGTGTGTTTGATATGGGTAGCAACTGAAATCTGCAGGAAGGTGGCTCTCCAGGAACAGGGTTGGCCACCCCTTATTTAGTTAGTTTGTATTGTGTAGAATTGACCACAATATGTTTTATACAGTCATTTTAAAATGCCACTTTATTTTCACTTTGTGCCACTCTTTCAATCAATTTGTCAGTGGGACAGTACAGTACGTGTGTGTCGAACATTTTGGTGAATTACATTGGTTTAGGTTTGTTAAATATTTGAAAAAATGCGATGACGAGGCTCCATTTAAATGGTACAAGAAGCCATCTAACGATAACTCAGAGATGTTGCTTTTAATTCTTATTAGATCACATTTTTAAATAATCAGTCCAGGAGGTGGAGCTGATTGACATCAGTGTTGGTTTCAAGACTTTAAAAGCAAGTAAAATTGATTGAAACTATCGTTTCGAAGCTGTCCAAATGTGACAGTTTATATACATCAAGCTGCTGACTGGAAGTTCAAAGCATCCTGCTTATGCATACAAACAAAGCATAATGGATACTTTTGAGCTCTATGAAAAAGGTCTATAGATTGTGCATAGATATATATACACTAGATATCGCATATGGACCTTGAGCATATGTCAATAGCACCGCCACATTTGTACAGTGCTCCCAGCACAAATGTCATTCAAGCGCACTAGTCAAGACTAAAGCTAATGTGAAGATGCTGGACTTTAGGGCTGTGTATGCTAAAACATTTTTTATGTTTTTATATGTTAAAGTATTTAAACTTCTCTTATGTAAGGACGTGATGACGAAAGTTAGAATGATGACAGTAGTCAATATTGTTATTCTGATTATTAATATTCAATTCCTGAAAAGATATACAATATATTCAGTTTAATCTTTTATTTTTCAATAATTATTACACATTTTATACAGCTGCTGAAGAAAAGCTTCTTGCAGTATTGAGCATGATTTATTAATTTGCAGCAGAAATGTAATGTGGCATATTGGCTGAACAAGAAACGTCCCTTCATGTCAAAAAATGCCATTTAAAACATGTCTGTCAGAGTTTTGTATGATAACCAGGCGCAGTTCCAGTAGATGGAGCCACGCATTCACACACAACACCACTGACAGGAAATATGTAAGACGTGGCTGTTGACATTTAAATGAAAAGGCTGAGAATTACAGCGGACGGCCCTGATTGCACTGACCTTGCCATCAGACAGAGCAGGTACTTTCATACAGCCATAGATTTTTCTCTGGCAAGGCTTTATTGAAACAGACAGCCCTTGATTGTTGACACTATGTAATTTGAAGTTGAATGTGTAGGAGGGCTGAAGACAACTCTCTGGGAAACTCATAATTGTCACTAACGTCTGACATAATTAAACAGCAGCTTATCACTTCTCTGAAGAGCCTCCTGAGCGTCTGGATGAACATCAGTTATTCTCTGCTTGTACCGCAGTGATGTTGCATTCATAATAAAGTGGAAACTTGACTAACTTCCTCACAGAATATAATGTTTGTTGATTAAAAGCTTACAGATAAAATGTTGCATTGTTTTTTTAATCATCATTAACCAACTGCTGATAATGAAAAAGGTAGAATCATATGAGACTTTGTGTACCGTACCTGAAAGCCATTTTAAATCCTCACTTTGAGTTATTGCATTATAAATTAATCAAATCACCAATTTTGGTACCTGTGAAGTAAATTTGTCTATTCATAGAAAATATATGTATAAAATATGGACCCCCTTTCAACACTTTCTTAACCAGGTGGGCTGTGCAACATTTTTTGATGTTTGAGCTTTCAAACACTTGGTGTCTTATTGTATTGTTCAGATGTCTTACATTTCTGCAACAATAAACAAATCTGTTTAACCAGCACACTCTAGAAAGCTGTGAAATGCAAGGTACAAAAATGCAACATTGTTATTATTTATTTATTTTTTAATTATGTATTGTTATTATTTAAATTTACGTAATTTATGTACATATTTATTTTCACATTTTTAAGTATTTGTTATTTTATTTTTTATTTCGTTTTTATTAATTTATTATTATTTTTTTTTTGTTCTACAGTTCAAACTAAACTCAAAAAATATATTTTTTGGGGAAAAAAGAAAGTATATGAAATGCCAAGTGTCTAACGTGTCAAATAAGTTTTGTTTGACACAAAATATTGCTCAAGTATAATAATCATAAGCTCAAGTAAAATAAAGCTCAAGTATAAAACAAACTAAATTTATGATTATTTCACCACTTACTATAAATATTAAGGTTAAATAAATGTCAAGCAAATGTAAAACTAATAATGGCTGAGAAATGTGCAATATAAAGACTAATGTTTCTCTCATTCAGCACCAATTTGTGTGCAGTATGTGTGTTTTGCTTACTGGAGGAGGTTAATAAATTATCCTAAATCTTGACTCAATATAAAGTAAACTTGCTAAAGTCAGTCATTTACCTTTATTTACAGTAAGCTGTGATTTGGATTTATTAGTGCCCTAAAGAGGTAAACTCATAATCAAATTATAAAACAATGATTTCAATTAGCCTATAATAGTAATACAACATTGATTCAACCATTTAAGAATGATTCATTTACACAAATGTAGAACATTAACATATTGCTGAATGCTTTTTGCCAAAAAAAAAAAAGTTCAAAGTTAACAGTAATTAGCCTGCAACGTAAGCTTGCAATATCCCTTATATTCCATAACAAGAATAATATTCCATGGACAAGAAATAGACATTTTAAATGTACATGATATTCCAGAAATTTCACAACCAATGGGAACCAATCAACTTGATTTGTTATCATCCAAATAGATAAATGAAAAATAATTAATGGAAATTGGGCAGCAGCCACAATTTAAATCGTTCAGTATCAATATTGTATTGCGATCATTTGCAATCCGCTTGGTAAATGTGACGCCACATGAAGCAGCTTCAAGGTCTAAGCGCTCTATCAAACTGCATGGGGAGACTCAACAAATGGTAATAATTAACATTTACAAAGTAATGTAATACTTTCAAAAATCATGATCACAAATCTCTGTCAGGCTTACAGCTCAAAATCTGGGCTCATTTGCAGCTTTCATTGGCCAAGGATCACCAGAGAATGTCTGATTGACAAGTAAAGCAACCAAACAGTTCATTTTGCAACGTAGATGTCCCAAAGTTAGTCTACTGTACATCCTAAACTACACACACTTTTGAAAACCCAGAATGTATAATATATGTTTTTAAAGTGACTACACTCAAATATAGAAAATAATCCACTTGTTAAGTGTGACGTCACGCGAAGCGGCATCAAAGTCAAAGTGCTCTGTTAAACTATATGGGGAGACTCGCAAATGGCAATAAATGATAACAAAGCCATGTAATACTTTTACAAATCACAATCATATATATCTTCATGCCTAATATCCGATGGCCAGAAAGGTATTAAGTTATTATAAATCGTTAAAATATCTGTGCCTGTGATGCCTATTGACTAATGTGTACACAATGATTTTATATAAAATTCACTTTGATGTGTGATTTGACTAAAAAGTGGTCATAAACAAATATTTTCTCAATTCAAATGAGTAGCGGCTTATATCCGGGAACAGTATTCCATTCGTCACGACCTAACAAGCGGATAGACATTCATGTGGAGAGTTAGATCTATAATCAGTCAATAACAGTCACTGAATTATATATAAACTTCTTTTATGTATAGCAAGAATCCGACCTTACTCTGTTAAACCACTGCTGTACAGCGAGCACTGTTTTATGGACTCTTTGTTGAAAAGAGTGCTAAAAATACATATTTGTAAAAAATTTGAAGAAGATCATCATCTTAAAAGGCTTGAAAACAGTGCTGCCACATGCAACACACCCGCAGATGCGTTTCCATGACAACAGCGTGTGTCAGACATCATAAACACTGAGCAGACAGCACAAATAATGGAAATCACCAATGCTGTGTACTATGCGTGTACACAGTATATTAAATATGTCAAAATGTAGAGATTCATAATTGAAGATATTGGCTACTTTGCGCTTCACAAAAAAAAAAGAAGAAGAAAACAAAGGAGCTAAGCCATAAGGAGGTTAATTAAGTTCACACCACACTCTTTAACATAAGAGAAATAGTTCAAAAACACATTATCAGTCAGTTGAAGAATAACTGTTTGGTGATGTTAATCGACCTTTTGCTTAGCTGTGATAAAAGTTGTCAAAAAAGATTAGAAGTTTTTCATTTGTTGGAACTTCTTCAAAGAATGCAAGATGGCAGATAACAGTAGTTATTAAGGCAAAATTTGTCAGGAAGGTTTTTAAAGAGGTGATTTACTATGATATCATATTTTAAAGTTTAGTTGATGTGTAATGTAGCTGTGTAAAAACAAACAATTTCTCTGAAATATGCTCCAAGTTCAATGCAAAAGGTCATTGCAAAGAGAGACATTTGTTGCGTCCCAAATCGCATACTTATGCACTATTCTACGCCATTTTGTAGTATAAATAGTGTAAGTAGTGTGTTCACACTGAAAACTCTAAAAATAATAAGTGCACTTTAATTACCCGGATGATGCACTCATTCAGCCGCTAAAATGAAGTGTGTAAAGATGGACACTTCACGCACTCAATGACCGCAGGTTTGCTTACGTAGCGGAAGAGGCGGAGCTATCGGACGCACATGTTGAATAACTTTATTTATTTTGGATGGTGAGAGCAAAATTCTTCTACGAGAGTGATTAAAGCGCCTCCCGATGGTGAATGCGGCAATACTCACGGCAGGTATTATTTGATAATTCGGTCGTTTATTTCACTGATTTGGCAACCGTCAAACGTCATCAGGGAAACAGTTTGAATTTCCGCTTAGTAAAAAAACATTAGTGTGCCATTTGGGACGCCACTACATACATGTACTATCCTGTTGTGTGTAAGTGCATAAGTACATAGTACATGAGTGCATAGTGTAAAGGGTGCCATTTGGGACGCAGCTGTAGGCTTTTACAGAGTTAGCTTAGCAAAGCCTAAAGCGAACAAAGTTTGGGGAGTACAAAAAAAAATACATCTGGGCTAGTAAAATCACAAACGTTACAGGTTACGCACATTCGAATAAACCCTATGCAGAGAAGGGGATGGCCTGAGGCCCTGTAATGTTATAGCAGAGAAAGCTAAAGTGCAGTCCAAACACTGCTATTTCCACAGAGCTTCTTCTGTTCCTGTATTTGGGCTTCCAAAGGACACAACACAAAGAGAGAAGTACTTACAAGTTAATTTGAATTATGTTCCAGAGAATTATAAAATTATATATAGCTCCAGCATTTGACAAAGGACAGCTTCCAGAATCTCTCTCAGTTCAGTGCTGGAATCGGCTAAAAACTCCTCAAAGAAGGAGCAGCTCCAACCATTACAGAAGAAGCTGTGGGTTGTGTGCCACAACCTGTAAGTGTTTTTCTTTGTTAAAATTGATCAATTACGTGCACAGTTTCTAGCGTTGAGGGTATGTTGTAGTGAGAACATAAACAAGGATGTAACCAATGGAAAATGCTGCTCTTTATGTTCTGTTTGAGTCAGGCACAAACTTATACGGCTTACAGTTTACACGAAGCAAAAGTGCATGCTTGTAGGGGTGTGACATGGAGACGATCCACAAATCACAGCACATTATGTTAGCTGACCAATCACAGCCTCTTGAGGGTGGGCCTTTCGCAGGAACTAGGGAATATGATAGTCGTTTCTATGTTAGCAGAGTAGCTGTGTAGTATCAAAGTAAGATATATGAAAAAACTGATTTTCTACAAGTGAAGCATGAGCACACATTGCTTTGCATCTTATAGACACAACCAAGCCTTAAAAATACACTCTGGACCACCCCTTTAAAGGCAATCACTTTAATCACCTTAAAGTTCAATCATGTGAATGGAGATGTTGTGTTTTCTCACCAAGCTCTGTTCAGTCAGAAGGCAGAAGAGCAATGCGTTTCCAACCTCCCTCAGGTTCTGGAAGCACACAGTCTTCAGCTCAGCGTACTCCACAATGTCTTTCAGCTGGTGGTGGAAGAACTCCAGGATACCTGCATCCGGTAAACAGAAATTGTATTTACTGCTCCTAGATTAGCATTTCCAAAATCAATGTCTAAAATCAGGATGTGGTCAGACATTCAAGTTTACAACACAAAATCTGAACTCATTTGCAGCTTTTATTGGCCAAGGATCACCAGAAAATATTTGATTAAGAAGTAAAGTAACTAAACATGGTTCATTTTGCAACGTAGATGTCCCAAAGATAGCCTACTGTACACCAAAAACTACACACACTTTTGAAAACCCGGAATTTAGTTCATCCTACTAAGTGCTAATTGTCAAAATTGACCGCTTTCTTCTATGCAAGGTTTGCCATCATGACGGCTTTCAGACGAATCATTAAAGAATGTGAGTCACGTTTCACTTTGACTGCTTTTGAAACTCCTGAAGTGTTTCTAATTTGGTACTCCACATGGCTCAGACGTTCAGTCATGGGAATGACGTCTGAGGCGATAATAAATATTAAACCAAAGTTTTGTTTCAACCCATATAACCAGCCTTCAAACTTCTTGAAGAACAAAAAGAATCTCCAGGGACTGATCTTAAGTTTACTCTTATGCCAGTTACTTCCACAAATCCAAGAATAAAGAAATACTCCAGCAAAAGCTTTTAACTACATAGACGGACCCCTTGCTGATTTTCTACCCTCTGCCTTTCTCTTGGTCTCTTCCCCCTCACTTCAATTCACTGTTACTCTCATTTCTTTTTTCTCCAGGCTGCCTGAAACCCACATAATCAGACGCAGTCACGATTTCAGTGTGGAGTGCACCTTCACAGTATGGTCACCCAGAAAGAAATGATAAACAAAACGAGAGAAAGACGGCAAGAGGCAATTACTAAGCATTCTCAAGTCAAGAGGGGTCTGAATAAGTCTTATAAAACTCTCCGCGTCTGCTGCGTGAGCTCTGCTAAAAGCACCACTGTGACTGACACACAGCCAATCTGCCCAACAGCACAGCTGGACCCTGCCAAAGCTTCATAATTCAGTGCTTATCTACTACTTGCTGGTATTTGCACAGGGTCAAGTTGCTCACTTGGGTCAACAAAAAATAAAAGGATTGTTTCGGAGTATATTATTCACCTGGTGAGCCATACTCATGGCGAGGCAGACGGCAAATCTTGGGCATCACTTCCATCAATGTCTTCACATACTGAAGGATGGTGCCTTGAAGCTGAACAAGAAGACAATAATGTTTACCAGTGCCCGTACATCTGGAAAATGACAGACTTTCTTCTTGAAAACTTTAGTTGTGTAATAATTAGTTCTAATAACGATAATAATGTGTTAAGATTCTTATAAATGACAGGTTTGATATTCGTGAAATAAGGAATTTGGTGTAGATAAAAACGATTATATGCTCATGTCTTTAAAACATCCTCAAATGTCTGTATTTATATGAAAAATCTTACCAGGCTTTTGACAACTTTTAACAGCTCCTCCATCACCACAGCGATTCCCTGGTATCCCAGAAGTCTGCAAATAGCCTTAATATGTGGAGGTCCCACAAAGTTGCGGTAGAGGCTGTATATGCTGCTGTACGCCAAATTCAAGGCCTAAATAATCATGAAAAACAAGAAAATGAAGCAGTTTATTATGAACAAATATAAAATCTCATATACAGTTAAAGTCAGAATTATTAGCCCCCCCTTTGAATTTATTTTTCTTTTTTAAATATTTCCCAAATGATGTTTAACAGTCCAGGGACATTTACACAGTATGTCTGATAATATTTTTTCTTCTGGAGAAAGTTTTATTTGTTTAATTTCGGCCAAAATAAAATCAGTTTTTATTTTTTTAAAAGCCATTTTAAGGGCAAAATGATTAGCCCCTTTAAGCAGTTTTTTTCCAATAGTCTACAAAACAAACCATCATTATACAATAACTTGCCTAATTACCCTAACTTGCCTATTCAACCTAATTAACCTAGTTAACCCTTTAAATGTCACTTTAAGCTGTATAGATGTATAGAAGTGTCTTAAAATATCTAGTCAAATATTATTTACTGTTATTATGGCAAAGATAAAATAAATCAGTTATTAGAAATGAGTTATTAGTACTGTTGTGTTTAGAAATGTGTTGAAAAAAATCTTCTCTACGTTATCAGAAATTGAGGAAAAAAATAAACAGGGGGGCTAATAATTCTGACTTCAACTTTATATTGTACTCACCATATACAAGTACACCCCTCACAAATCTCTCTTTTGAATGAATATTTAATATAGGATGCTTGAAAGTATTATATTTGTGCATATACATTACATTAGTCAGCACTGAAGCCAAAAAAAGTAAATTACGATAACAGTCCAAAAATAAGTAGCCCACCCAAATGTACAGTTGAAGTCAGATTTATTAGCCCCCTTGAATTATTAGCATTATAATAATTAAGATAACATTTAAAAAAGAAAGAAAAAAATCAAAGGCTAATAATAATAATAAATAATAAAAATAATAACAATAAAAGGGCTTATAATTCTGACTTCAACTGTATATGTCAGGGGAAAATATAAAAAAAATGAAAAAAGAAGAAAAATCAAACAAAAGATATTAAATTTGATTCTCCTATTTGTTGCCGAAGGTTTCCTCCAGGTCCTACGGTTTCCCCCATAGTCCAAAGACATGCACTATAGATGAATTGAATAAGCTAAATTGGCCCTAGTGTATGTGTGTTTCCCAGTTTTGGCTGGAAAGGCATCCGCTGCATAAAAAAATGCTGGATAAGTTGCCGGTTCATTCCGCTGTGGCGACCCCTGATTAATAAAGGGACTAAGCCCCCAGGGCAATTTGTTCCGAGCCTTCCAAATAATGTGACAAATTGAATAACTCTGGCCTAGTGGTGAAGTGCCTGAGTTTGATTCCCAGCTTGAGGTACTTTGCAGACCCTTTCCTTCACTTTCTCTTTCCCAATATTTTCTTTTCTGTAACCTCCACTGTCCTATCCCATTGAAAGGTGAAAAATTATAATAATAATAAAATATAATATAATAATAATAATAATAAAAACTCATCTCTTGCCCAATTTGTGTTACTTTTGATTATAATGTTATTTTATTTATCTTATTATATATATTTTGACCAAAATATTGCTTTTGATGGAAGAATTTATAATTGTTTAATTCAAAGAAAATGAGGCCTAATTTTGTTTTCTGCTGATAAATAGGAACTGAAAGAGAAAAACCTCATCTCTTTGTATTCGCATACACAACACAAACATAATCTTAATAGTTAAATCCCTGAAGGGAAATGTTAAGCTACATTAATTAGAGCAGCCACAACTGCGCACACTTTCAAAAACGAAATCGTAAGAATCCACAACAGCAGACGTCAAATATCTCCTCATGAGCTTTTCTTTCTTACATATTTGAGCAGCAGTGAAACTGGAAAGCAACAAGTATCCTTCTGTTTCTTTAATTAGTTTCCAGTGCTTGTAAGATGGCTGATTAAAGTTTAATGGTGACTGCATAAGCATATATATGTCTGTAGGTGTTGGGCAGTGAGTCAGGGAAGACAGGTCACCAGTCTGAATGGGTAATTGAGAGTGGGGGAGGAAAGTGCCATGTGCTCCTCCAATGATTGAGCCAACAAGTATGCATAAGGGATCGAGAACGAGTGAGAGAGTTCAAGCTCTCCCAGCCGTATTTCTGTTTAAAATGCACTGTACGCAAAAAAAAAAAAAGATGTGCCGTCTCCCCCTCCCCACAACTCTCTCTCTCTGCTTCATGTGCTGTCTGCTGTTCTAATCAGATAGAAGAGCTTTTCTGTGCAGTGCTTTGGATGTAGAGCTGGATCTGCAGCAGATTTTAGCCATGCCAAACGAAGACAGGTACAGGTCAGATTCTCTGAAGGCTTCAAGGCGATTCGGTCTGCAACAGTGAGGTGATCGGACTCTGACGTGACTCTTCATCTCTTATGGTAAGATCTTGATTATATCTCAGTGTACTGAACATTTGCTTTGACACAAAACTGTGTGGATTCACTGTAAACAATTATTAAATATTAATTCAGGTATGTACTGTGGAAATACTATTAAAATAACAAACGATAGTGGCTTTACGGACCTGAAAAATATCTGAAAGAGCGGCAGGTGCATAGGAGAGAGAATATAAGTCCTCTTTTTTTCTGTCAGATGTGAGTGACTAGACTGAGCATTATTGACAGCGTGCTTCTGGAAGATCAAAATGATTAGCGTTCAAGCTTTCGCCCAGTGCTGACTGCAGAGTAATTACAGCGTGCGTGTGTATCGTAAAGGGTCACCACTCACCCGAAAGTCTAATGCAGTGATTTATTGATTGAGTTAATGGGTAAACGAAAGCCTTCAGCGGGAAAAACAAAAACAACCCACTGTCAAGAATGATGGACAAACTGAAAGGCAATTTAAGCCAAATAAAACATTTAGAAAATTCAACAGAGAGAGCAGCAGAGATTGAAGATAGAGATTGAAAGTATTGAAGATAAAAGAAATTAATTTATTTTTATATTTAAATTTGTATAAATTTAAGCTGAAAAAAGTAAATAAAATAAATAAAATATATAATCTAAAAAAAAAAAACGAATCAGTGTTTGATCTTTAATAATAGAAATCCTAAAATAAAAAAGGTTGAATACATATTTCTATATATATAAAATAGTTTTAATCTAAAATTATATTTATTTAGCTGCAGTACCATTCAGTTATTATAACGAGACAATCCCTTAAGAACTTTTCTCTTGGCAAGCAGACATATGGATGTAAAGCCAATTGGATTTTTTCCTCAAACTCATTTATATAATCCTGCTTTAGAAAACCTGATATGTGGTTTTGCAGAGAAAAAATAGATCCCAAAGCAATCAAGGTGGACAAAAAAAAAAAAAAAAAAATGTTTTTGTATTCAATAACCTGGTTCTTTCTCCCTCTAGATAAATTTGATTTAGCAACCACTGTGATGGAGCAGAGCAACTGTACTTGGTTGTCAAAGAAACCTTTTAATTAAAGAAGACACATTTCTGTTACCTTTTCAAACATTTTCAAATCAAATATAATAGAAAAAACTGGAACATAATTGCGTGGACTACTGCAAATGTTCAAATCATCAATCTGCAGTTTTATTATACCCTTCCTCCTCTATCAGTATTACTGATTCACTCCTTTTGATAAATAACTTTAATTCATGCTAGCCCCAATGCCAATAACTCAACTTTTGAATAGTTTAAAAACATATTTTTATGCTGAAAGAAAGCCCATCACCAAAATAGAAGACACTTGTTGTGCAACATTTAAGGTTACAGCTGATCTGCATGAATGTTTTTCCTTCATTCCTCCATACTATCATTAGGATCGACTGTGTATATAACACGTGTACATGTGTAGTCCTACAATGTGACAAAGCCGCTGACAATATGCACAATTATGATATCTCTTTGAATGCATGAAACACTTTTTACAGCCTATAACACCTTAAATTTAATACCTGAAAGTGTGACAAGTTTAGATGATATTACAAAGTTATAATCAATTAAAACTAAGCTATTTAAAACAGGGACTAATCCGAAGGGAAAGTGAAAGTGATAAATTCTTACTAATGTTTTGGATTAGTTTTTTCAGGCTGGAATATTAAAGTATATCCAGTAGTTTATTTATCACGTTGGCATAAAGAATCGACTAAATTACAGTGAAAGTTATTTTCTGTGGACACAAGAGATCTAACCTAGTTAGTGACGCCATCTAGCGGTGGTGTGTGGATCTGTTCTGACATTGAGGTACAAAGTAGAGGTCTGCACCAGATTTTTTTCGTCGCGGAAATAAATTTCCGAATAAATCGCGGGAGCAGGCGGTAACTGGTGAAATTTTGGACAGCAGCGGGCAGTCAAACAATATCGCTCCCAACTCCCAAGCATGCGTATGTATGTGTGTTGCTGTGTGTGTGTGTGTGTCTGTGTACAGACAGCGTGTTATAGGCTGCCTGAACACTGTATAGCTGAGTGGTTTTCGGTTTTCGCAAATATATTTATATATGTTTCATCTTCCTTCCATTTGGTCCTTGACTGATCACATACCTGAGAAGGATATAATAAAACTGCAGATTGATGAGTTGAATATTTGCAGTAGTCCATGCAATTATGTTTCTGTTCTTTTCTATTGAATTTGTTAAACAGAACATTGTAGCCACTTGTTGTGCAGCGTTCAAGGTTACAACTAATCTGCATGAATGTTTTTCCTCTATTTGTCCAGATTCTTCTAAATCGCTTCAAGAGCCTCAAAACAGTTATCATCATCAAGTTGTCGTTGAGCCTCAACTTAAAAATTAAAACTTATCTGAACAATTTCCTTTCATATTCTTCAAAAATAATTGCATGACATCTTAAACCAGTCTTCATCCTCAAACTCTGTGTGCATAAAAAATATCGACCTAAAAAACATGACTATCACTATTCAGAACATCACAGCCACCTCTGCCATCGTCAGCTGGCCATCTTCTCCAGGCTGTATCGACACGTTCTACAGTGTCATGTATCACCCAAACTGGAACAGTCTACTGATGGGTTACACTCGCAAAAGTTTCCTGCGTGAGGACAGGGTTCCCGTGAGTCAGACGTCCACCAGTTTGGGCAACCTAAGTCCACAGACTACATACATCCTCTGTGTCACCTGTCAGTCTGCCAATCCCACCAGAGAGCAGTGCCAGGTCTTTAATACCCTAGATGAGGGCACTGAGCTCGGGGAGAGCGGCAGGGAGCTGGCCATGGGAGTTTGGCTGGCCAGCAGTATCCTCTTGCTGATCATCGCAGTGGCTTTGCTTTGGGGATGCCTTCATACCATGTGTCCAGCAAAAAGAGACCCGGATAGAGTCAGCCAGTCTGGTCTGAACCCTCCACACCTGGCTCTGACCCCTATGGATGGGAACATGGGAAGCGAAGGAAGAAAAAGTCTGTACACTCCTAGTTGCGGTGAAGAGGAATCTCCAAATGCGACGGTGATTGAGAATCCTTTTCGAGCCGAGAGAGAAACGGCAAACGGGCAGAGCTGTGAACTTCAAACTCTTAGTAATAAACACCCCGGGGCAGAATAATTGGGCTGCCAGGTTGCCACTGTAGTGTGCTGACCCCAAAACTTCAAACTATTAATCACCCGCGTACACAATGTGGACAATCAGCAAGGAGGAAAACTTTGAGGAACTGAGCCACGTGGGTTAAGGATTAATATAGCATTTAAATGTCAGATGAAAATATCAATCGCTAATTCAAACAAGAAAACTGAAAGAGCCCCCTTTGTCTTACACTACAACTCAGTGAAATTTAATGTGCGCAAAGTATAGTGTTTTCATACTTATGAAGAGGTTCAGTTTGTTTAAATGCCTTTAAACATTTTTTACCCGAAAGAGATTCTGTTATGAATTATTTACCCTCGTGTTGTTCCAATCCTGAGACCTTCATGCATCTTTGGAACACAAATGAAGATATTAAAATAATCATCCTCAATTGACAACAGCAATATGAAAATGACTTTGTTTGGTGATGTCTTCTCTTCAGCTGCCTCAGGCCACGTTTACACTAATATATTTTAGTTTTAAAATGCATACATTTTGCTACGGTTGCGTAAGCAAAACATGAGATCCAGCAGTATATCCTTCATGAACTGTCTGACGTGCACTGCTTATATCTGGGGAGATGTGCTTAAAGCACCTGCTGAATGCCTGGAGCTCAGACAGGTGCATACGCTGCAACGCATGGCAAAGTGTGTGTGTGGTCCCTTGATGTGCGTGTTCACTGGTAAAGTGTGGACGGAGATCTTTTCAGAAATGCTAGGTGAAACGCCAGTATGGACTTGGATCGTTTTCCTTCTAAAACGTTGTTTTAAAACTAAAACTTAGTGTAATCAGGGCCTCAGATTGGGGTGTGCACCCTATCAGAGGAAATTTTTTTTTTTTTCTTATTATATACTTTTTGGTGCTCTAATCATTCTTAAAGCGTTGTATGATAACAGTTAAACCACTGAAGTCACATGAAACGTTTTGATAGGTTCTTGCTTCCTTTGAACATCTCTGGACTGTGTTTATGGAGGATGAGGGAGCTCTCAGATTTCATCGATAATATCTTAATATATGTTCCGAAGATGACTGAAGGTCTCGAGGGATTGAAACCACATGAGGATGAGTACTTAATACCAGAATTGTCTTTTTGGAATGAACTAATCCTTTAACGCATTTAGCCACAGAACTTATTCATGTTAGTTTAAAACATTTTTACCCATTTCTGCAGAGTCATAATTTATATGCATGTCTTGTCAGGTTTATGAGTTTGTCAGTTTAAAGATAAGCAGCACTATCATGTTGCTTTTGTGAGACGAAAGCAAAGCCAGCAATGTGTTAAACGATTTGATGTATCTTTACCTTCACCTTTAATACGTCTATACGTGTTCATCAATATCTCTGGAAGTGGAGTCTCTGTTTCTTTAGAAAATCCTTCAAGGCTTAAAAATGTACCTTGCATACCTATCTATCTTGCTTAATAATAAAATAAGAATATTTCTCTGTGTTGCCACGTGTTTTGGAGACATACTATAACTGCTTCTGAATGCCAGAAATGTATTTAATGTCGTTTTGATATATAATTCCTGTTTACACCCAGTGTTAAGATGCCTGGTTTTACTGGAGACGACACATTCCTGTTTACATCTGGAGTGTCAATCTGTCTCTTTTGTCCACTTTACTTTCACTGACATCAGGGTTTAGCGGCTGATGTATGGAACAGAAAAAAAGTAGAATGGCACCAATGATTTTTGCTTAGCTAACCACAAAACTGCATTGAACGTTGTGGATTAATGTTAAAAATCAAGACTGGTATCACAGTATTATCAACGTTTTTTTTCACCTTCAAACTTAATCTTACAATGTCAGACAACAAAGTTTAAATCCCGTCTGGCTCTTCAACAGCATAATACATAAGAATTAGGTCAGTATGCAGAGAGGAAACAACGTTTAGTGGCTGGTTGAATGCTTTAAATCACTTTCAGCATTTATCCTATGAAAGAAATCTGGTGCATTATGTTTTGTCCTCGGGAAGTGGTCAAAAGTGAATGAGCTCAAAATATTTTAGCCCGTTTAAATCAATATTTAGCCTTGTATACTTAAACAAAAAAAATGGATCTTAACTGGTTTAAACTCACCTTTGAGCCATACAGGTACTGTGGCTGAGCGTTGGGAGGCTTGTCTCTCTGAAACTCCTGTGAAAACGGCAGAATGGTGCGAACAAACCTAAAGAGACAGGAAAATGATTTTAAAAATAGATTCGTTTAGCCATTTTTGTGTTGCAAGGCTTTTTTCGACCAGTTGTTGTCAAGTGTGTTCAATCAGGCTGTGCTCAGCATGTCCACTCTTGCCCCATTCACAGATAACAATACAGTGAAAAAAAACTCATCACACTCACAACCGCTTTCAGAAGAACATGTTCTTAAAGGAAAATGACAAAAAGCCATAAATATCCACCGTGTCATGACCAACTTTTAGGAGTTGTTGCTCAAGTCAGTTGGCAGTGCGTATAATATAACAGGAGCAGGTGAGAAGTGGTATCAGTGTGCTTTGTCTACCCATCCATCACTCAAAGTCTCACAAACCCAGCAGAAAACTCAAATGAATCACCCCCTTATTGCAAAAATAAAAAATGTAAAAGTCTTCTCTGATAGCTGAGACTTTATTAGCATGCTGGGATAAAGCCAATAATGTGTCTAAGTTGTTGTAGAGATGGCAGTATCCCACCAGTTATATGAGCCATATTGGGAGCACAGCTGTACCCAAAAGGCATCAATTCACTTTGATACTGTATAGCTACATCTATGATGAAACTGTAAGATATTAAAAGGTTCATCTCCCATTCCCAAAGGTCACATTGTGCTGAAAAAAAGATGTAAAGAAGAATTTAACCTTTTTATCTTACCACGTTTAAACGTTTAATGCTTACCTTTAATAATAATAATAATAATTCCTTAGATTTATTTAACGTTTTTTTGGATACTCAAAGTGTTTACACTTCTTTGGGGAGAATCTACTCTTCCACAGTGTGGAGCATCTACCTCAGGGGTGCCAGAAGGGGTGTCCTACATCTTTTAGTTCCAACCCAATTAGACACAGCTGAAACAGCTAATCAAGCTCTTTCTAGGTATACTAGAAACTTCCAGACAGGTGTGTTGAAGCAAGATGGAGCTAAACTATATAGGACAGCGGCCCTCCAGTACAGAGTTTGGCACCCCTGATCTACCTGGATGATGCAACGACAGCCATATTGTGCCAGACCGCACACCACATACCAGCTGGTTGGTGGAGAGGTGACAGAGCGATGAATCCAACTATGATATGGGGATGGTTGGGAGGCCATGATGGACAGAAGCGCTCACTGAGCAGAATAGAGTCATCCCCATCAATTTACAGGGGTGTTAGGACCCACACAGGCCGCAGGTTGACCCTGCTGGTCTCACTAACACTACTTCTGGCAGCAACCTAGCTTTCACATGTGGTCTCCAATCCAGGTACTGACCGGGCCTCCGTAGGCGACTATGTGAGAGTTGCAGAGAGATAGTTGCCAGCTTAGTACCTTTGATTTACAACATTTCCCATCTCCCTATGGTTCTTTAGAAAGCCCTTAATTTGTCTCACTTGTTGTCATATTTAATTAATGGATCAGATTGTACCTTGTGTTGAGGAAAAATTGTGTGTGCTATTCGACAGTAAATTAATCAAATGGCAGATAGTAGACAAGCATCAATAATTCAGCAGCAACATTTAATAAAAAGGTAATTGATTTGTCTAGACTTGCTGCTGATTATACACTTCTCACAGCAATGCTTCAGTGCAAGCAAAAACGCTCTCTTAACTGTGGAAAAAATCACATCTGAGATGTAACAGTCCTTTCCTGGCTGAAATGAAAAAGATGTTCATACATATCTTTTAATTTTTCACATTTAAGCATAGACTGACTATAAATAACCAATGAATTAACTTAATAATTAAGCATTATCTAAAAAATTGAAGATGAAAGTCTCAAGGCATCTGGCTTTTTGATATGATGAAAGAAATGCTCCGTGCTATTTGACTTTTAATCTCCATCACATCTGTTTAACTGAAATATGGATGATTTGATACATATTGCAAAAGCTGTAGACTTAAAGTCAAGTCCACACAGTTAAAGTGCTGTCCATTTATGACATTAACATTTAATCATTTCACAGTCTTATAAGTACAAATTAGCAGGAAGATATACACAAACACATATCTATCTATCTATCTATCTATCTATCTATCTATCTATCTATCTATCTATCTATCTATCTATCTATCTATCTATCTATCTATCTATCTATCTATCTATCTATCTATCTATCTATCTATCTATCTATCTATCTATCTATCTATCATAAATATGAATCATATAAAATATTATATTACATATTTATACATTAAATGACATAAATATACATACAAATATTATTTATTATAATGTATGATATATTTGTATTAGATTATATTACAGTGCTTACCACACATAGATTGTAGTTGGGCAGGTCACCGACATCTAGGTATATAACATCCAAGTATATTTGGTGACATTTGTTTTTTATTATTATCATCCTTTCACACTTTTTTTTCTATCCCTCCAATTGCCAAAAACCCACGATCGATTTACCAGTGGACAATATTTTCTCGCCCTACACGTTTCCAACTTCTCATTGTGTGTGCACGTGAACTGTCAACACTCCCACACACAATCTCATGTGCTTTACAGACCCATTGACACGCACCTTGTTGGGACTGCGTTCGTTCGGGGTTTCAAAATCTCCGAAAATTAGGCTTTCGGATTCACTTTTTAAGCTATTGTCATTTTTATTTTAAGCTTGATTTACTTGCGCATACAGTGTTGGAATACAGTGTTGGCTCTATGCACAGATAGAGTTTTAAAGCCAATGATAAACTTCCGGTGAAAACAAACAAAGTTGTTTTTACAGCATGGATTTTGTAAGGTAATTACAGTACATTTATTTAAATAGACTTAAGCATTCATTTAGTTGTTCAAGCATAAAACGAAATGAAAGACCGTTGTAATCACTGGCGCGTCAGCATTAACAGGCTAGCACAGAAATTCTATTGAAAATACTGGGGTAAAATAGACTGTCATGTTTTAAAGACATAACAGAGGGAAATGGTATTTAATGCAGTGCTTCTTGTCCGATCTGACACCCACTTCATATCGTATATTTAACAGGCAGAGAAGGTCGCTGATTTTTAAAGAAATCAGATCTTAAACGTCACAATTTTGTAATGGAAAGACAGTTCACCGGAAGCCGCCGGGCTGAAAATAAAAGTCTGTGTGCATATAGCCCATTCACTCATTTGCCCAATTTAAATAGTCTACACTTTTTATTCTTGTAATTATTAAATTTTTAGAGATTTTTTTATTCAATATATGTTTTTATTCCTTTATGTCATTTATTTCATCATTTGATGATGTTGATATATTTCATATTTTTTACATAAATTATACTAACATGCTTTGGCAATAGAGCACAAAATGTCAGCAGCAGATTTTTCCTGTCAGTGGGTGCACATGGCTCCTGAATAGAATAAAAGTAAAACAAATTGTGGATTTTTTTTTTATTTCAACAGTCTTTAAAAAAATCTTCAACCCATTAAAAAGTAAAAGTGTATAATAAATAAAAAATATTGTTAAAATTCACTTTTTTGTCACATGTAGGCAGCCATGTGCAGCGAGTAAAAGGTGTGTTCAATTCAGCTACCACCGCAAGTATATCTCAAAGCTGTGAGAATCACTGTTATATTAATGCCATTTATATTTCACAAACAAAACCAGATTGTGTTATGAGGGGGAGGGGGAGGGATCTGACCCACCTGTTCGTGGAGCCATTGTAACAGTAGTTTGGCAAGAAGTCATAGTTCAACTCCCAGAAGACATGAAGAGTGATTCTGCCGTAGGGTGCGGAAACGTTGTGGTTTGCCTCTCGGAACATGGCGTCGATGCTGTCCAGTGTCAAATACTTACTGAGGAGTTTATGGGTCATTCGGTTTATGTCCAACAAACCTTCCAACTCCTGATCAAGGACAGAGAGACAAAAAGACCTCTCAGTCTCCAACTCAACGATGCTTTAACCACAACGGACACACAAATGTGCACACACAGACAGACAGACAGACAGACAGAGAGATACACAAAAACAGAGAGAGAAACACACGCACACAAACACAGATACACACAGACAGAGACAAACACAGAAGCATACAGACACACACAGACAGTGATAAGAGTTACACAGACATAGACGCACACACACATAAACAGACACAGAGCTACACAAACACAAGTACACACAAAAACAGAAGCACACACACATAGACATAGACACACACACATGCATGCACGCACGCACACAAAAAATACAGATACACACAGAGACACACAAAAACAGATACACGTACAGACGTGCGCGCACACACACACACACAAAAAACAGACAGAAAACCACACACACCAGACACAAACACACACAGAGACACACAAAAACAGACATACACACACACATATAAAAACAAACATACACACGAACAGACACACACACACACAGACATACAAAAACAGACATACACATGCACAGATGCACACACAGAGACACACAAAAACAGAAATCAGAACTTGCGCGCACACACGCACACACAGAAAGCAAACGTTAATAAAATGATTCACTCTCTAGGCGAGCCAGACTTGGCTAAATTATTTCTGCTGCACTGAATTTAAATGACGGCATGAGAGACAGCCTTATTTTCATTAAAAACCCTGAACGGGCAAATAGCCAGCAAATGTCTACAGCTAAAACAAGCGGAACTAAATCAAGGTCTCCATCAGACCAAAAGAACAGAGCTTGTTTCTATAAAATAGAGATTAAGGACAAGGCACCATGATGGAGGTGAGGTCCTCGCTCTCGAAGCGGCTGATGGCCAGCTCCAGGGATTTGTAAAGCGCAGAAGACACACGCTGAGTGATCAGGCGGTTCAAGTCAATCGATCGTCCAAGGAGCTGCAAGAGAAAAAGGACAAAACAAGACGAGTGGCCTCAAGGGTGGCATTAATAAACAGAAATAAATACATGAGCACAATGAAGAGTTGTCGTGCGTACTTGGACGTGTCTCTGTTTCAGGAGTGTCTCATAACGATTGGAGGAAGGCCATGAGATGTTTGCACCCTGGTTCTTACATTCGGCTCTTAGTCTTTTATCCAGAAGAAGACTAGAGAAAGAAAAAAATATATATAAATATTAGAAGATCATTTTAAGTCTCTGAAGTAGGGCTGCTTGATATTGGAAAAATACTGACGTTGTATATGAATATAATTTCACAAGATGACAACATTTTGGGTGGTGCAGCTAGAAGATCGCTGGTTCCAGCCTCGGCTGTGTCAGTTGACGTTTCTGTGTGGAGTTTGCATGTCCTCCCTGTGTTACTCCGGCTGCTCTGGTTTCCCCCAGAAGCCCAAAGACATGTAGTATAGGTGAATTGGGTAAGCTAGATTGTCCACAATGTATGTGTGTGAATGAATGTGTATGGATGTTTCCCAGTGATGGGTTGCAGCTAGAAGGGCATCAGCTGTGTAAAACATATGCTGGATAAGTTGGCGATTAATTCTACTGTGGCGACCCCAGATTAATAAAGGGAATAAGCCTAAAAGAAAATGAATGAATGAATGAATGAATGACCCCATTTTGGATAGAATTCATCATTTTACATTGATAGGGATGATTTTGTACAAGAGCACATCTGCACTATACACAAACGCACAAAATAAAAAATCGACTTAAAGCACAGAAGAAAACAATTGAGCAAAGATCAAAAATAAAAAATTAAACAGTGCTTTATAGTTTTCCGTGGAGTCTAACAGCATTGAAGTACAGAAAAACAACTATCAAGTCTATCTAGTCTTTCTTGTATAAATAATTAAACATTTACTCTGTTAAAGCTTTGAAATGCGCGTTTTTATTTGATGTTTGATGTAATGTCAACCGAAACACAAAGAGAGGATGGGAAACAGTGTGGCTCCTCCCCTTTTAAAAAACAACCAATAGCATTTTGTTTTATCACTGCTCTGCCAGTGAGAGGGGTTGAGCTCAAGTGCATCAAATGAAAAGCCAAAAAGAAGCGCCTTAAAGGGGGCGTGGCATGTCAGACACTAGAGAGCATGTGATTGGTTATGATAGGATGAGAAACTACTTTGAGATGACGTGAAAAAAAAATGGTTGCTTCATATAGGAGGAAGGTTTTTTTGTTTTGTTTTTTATTAATTCAATGTCACAAGGACAAGAGCTATTACTTAAATAGTTTTCTAAGAGAGAAAATATAAAAATATATACATTCATTCATTCATTTACTCATTCATTTTCTTGTCGGCTTAATCCCTTTATTAATCTGGGGTCACCACAGCGGAATGAACCGCCAACTTATCCAGCAAGTTTTTACGCAGTGGATGCCCTTCCAGCTGCAACCCATCTCTGGGAAACATCCACACACACATTCACACACACACTCCGGACAATTTAGCCTACCCAATTCACCTGTACCACATGTCTTTGGACTGTGGGGGGAGCACCCGCAGGAAACCCACGCGAAGGCAGGGAGAACAAGCAAACTCCAAACAGAAGCGCCAACTGAGCCGAGGTTCAAACCAGAAAACTATTAGATTATTAACCAAAACTATAAGACTACAGTTATACTTTGCAATGGGTCCACATTTCACGTGTGCTGAACTGTGGTTCTTGGTTAGTCAATCCCTATTTGACATCACATAATCAATGCTGAAACGATATATTGTGCAGCCCTACTCTAAAGTAACTACATATATGCGGAATAGTAATGTTATGTATATATATATATATATATATATATATCTGTCCTGAAAGCAAATCCTGTTTGATTACATTTTTAAAAAGAAAGACATACCTTCCGGCAATAACCTTGTAGTAGGCAAATATTTGATCAGCAAGTTTGTAGACAAACTGGTCAAAGCAGAGGTTCACCTGAGATAAAGAGAGAGAAAAAAAAAAAAAGAGTCCAGATTCGCAATCATTGAATATAAGATTGGAACAAAGTTAAAGAAATGAAAAGAGAAATGCAATAACAGCTACAAAGGATTTTGAGATGAATACAGAAGGTCAAGAGGGCTTTACCTCCGCTTCAATCTCATCATAAAGGAACTGCTTTTTAAACTTAGTGAGAGCGTAGTGTGCACTGTCGTTGTACAAATCCAGAGAATATAACACGTACCTGTGGACATCAGACAGACTTAGAATTGCATTTCATCAAAGCATATCTTTTCCACATGTACCACACTAATTTATGCATTTAGGAAAAAAATATATATATATTTCTTACTCCATCATAGACGCCTCTTTAGTCTCCAGGATGTGGTCGGTAAGGATCCAGGGCATGGACATCTCAATGGGGAACTGGATGCGGCGGCCCATAGTGAGCTCCAGAAAGAACTCCCGAAACCAGAGCTGGGACAAATCACAGCACTGCTGCAGAGTCTCTACAACACAACACGCATGCGTGAGAGATTAAATATCAACAGTTGTGACTCCTTTTCACAGTTTACAAGTTTTAAATTCAGCAGTATGTCGTGTTTACATGCGGAGTTTGGTTCTCTTGGTTCTTTTAGCATAATAAAAACAAGTTACTTCTGGAGAGATTGAATTTTTGCGCAATAATATGTTGATTGTAGCAAAGTTTTACATGCACAAACGTGGATTAGCTATTCTTGTTTTGACGTATTTAAAAATGAGTTTAGAACTTCTAAATCCTAAATCTTTAATCCATAAAGCATTTAATAGCTCTCTAAATGTCAGCAAACATAAACTGACCCCCTCATTTAATTTGTGAAACACTGAGAGAAACTGGAGTTTACCCCTAAAGCCTGCTGTATCATATTTGAAAATGAAGCCAATTGTTTGAAAATAAACTCTAAATAGTCTGTGTAGACTGATGGCTATGTGAACACATTGATGGAAATGATGCAAAGCTTGTGCACTTGTGTGTGGGCACACTTTTGTGTCTCTGTGTGGGAGGCTACTCTTATGATGACAGATGAATATATACAATATACAAAAGTTTGTTTAGAGATTGATGCAACTGATGTGGCCTGGTGGTAACAGGCTTTGAATGTGTTGCGACAATGTCACATGGCGTGGATCACACACTGGATGACAAGCGTCTACTGACAACTCAGAGCTTTGGACACAAGTCGAGCACATTTTATTGATGAATACTATGTTTTTAAAGGTAAAAATATACAGATGGAGCTCTGTGGCACAGACATGCACGATGTTTGTGGAAATTTTACTAGAAAACTAGCTATTGTATATATACATGATTTTAGGACATTTGCTTGATTTTGTGTTAAATTCAATGATCGTGTAATCCCAAAATCCTGGAGGGTCTTGTGAGGATATACATTTATATAATCTAGTTTCAAATTAACAGTGATATACAGTTGAAACCAAAAGTTTGTATCCACTGTATAAAAAGGCACATTACCATTTAAAAAAAAAGGCAGATGTTAATGTAACAATACTTTTTCTCTTTTAGGTAAGTTAGGATTATCATATTTGTTTCTGTTATACTTAATAGCAGAACAATGAGAGAGATATTTTTTGAGAAATTGTTATAACTTTTCTTGAAAGTCAAGTTTATATACGATAAGATTATTATGCCTCTGAAAAAGCTCAAATGATGGTGTCAAGGTTTTGGAAGATTCTTATTGGCTAATTGACAACATTTGAGTTAATTAGAGGCACAACTGTACAATAGTATTTAAGGAAAACCTCAAACTCACTGCTTCCTTGTGTGACAACATGGCAAAGTGAACAAGCCAGGACCAACCAAAAAAGCCAGATTACAATTTGCTAAATTACACTGAGGAAAAGAATCATTTTTGGAGACATGTCCTGTGGTCTGATGGAACTTAGATTGAACTGTTTGGCCATAATGACCAGTGTTACATTTGGAAGACAATGGGGAAAGCTTACAAGCCTAGGAAAACCACTCCAAATGTGAAGTATGGGGGTGGCAGCATCATGTTGTGGGGCTGTTTTGCTGCAGGAGAGACTGGTCCACTTCACAACATAGATGGCATCATGAAGAAAGAACATTATGTAGAAATACTGAAGCAACATCTCAAGACATGAGCCAGGAAACTAAAACTTGGCCACAAATGGGTCTTCCAAAAGACCATGACCCTAAGCATATTGACAAATTAGTTAAAATGTGCTTTAAGGACAACAGAGTGAATGTTTTGGAGTGGCCATCACAAAGCCCAGAGCTCAATCATATAGAAAATTTGGGGGCAGAGTTGAAAAAGCTTGTGCGGGCAAGACAGCCTACAAATCTGACTCAGTTACACCAATTCTGTCAGGAGGAATAGGCCAAAATTCCTTTAAACTATTGTGAGAAGCTTGTGAAAGGATACCCAAAACATTTGACCTAAGTTATACAGTATAAAAAAAATTGCCTTCAGCGTTTTTAAAAAGTTCAGTTTTCAGAACTCATAAAAAACTCTAAGGGTAGTGTGAACGGAAGGCATAACCATAGCAAAACTTACGCATTTTAAAATTTAAACGTATTAGTGTAAATAAGGCCTAAAACAAGGAATTAAACGAAAACTTCTCATGCCTGTTTTCTTTACTTTGACCCTCCTAAAAACAAAATATAGACAGGACAGCTATGTGCCAAATCAGACTTATGATAGACTTATTTTGGACTACTCTTATCACTGTAAGAGACTCCTGTAGGTTTTTGCAGACTGTAAGACGTCTTGAAGACGCTATTTGACTGCAGAACATCTAATATGTCTAAATAAATTCTGCTTGAAATGAGTCTGCTGGATTGACTTCTCTTACTTTTCCGACAGTCTGGAATTAATACAATTTGAAATCAAGTGGTATATCCAAAAAATTTTGCAATTCTTTTTTAGGCTTTTTTTTTAAGTATGGAAAATTCTATCTACTTTAATTAGCAAAAAATAAATAAATGCCGTTTACCATTCATAAAGCAGTGACATTTAAATGTAGCTTAACTGTCCATACTTTCAGGCCACATTTATTGTATAGTGGTATTTTAAAAAAAAGTCTAGTTGTACAATAATATGCTAATCCTAAAAAAATCTTTAACAGCTGTAAAAAAAAAAAAAAAAAAAAAAAAAAAAAGATTAAATCTAAGAATGATGAGGGCAAGTGTTCAACCTGTTCCTTACCACTGAAGTTGAGCAGATGAGTGTAGAAAAAGGATTCGCGATGAAACTTCTCGATGTCCAGAATGGTCGGCCCCTCCAGACTACTGCGCAAGGTCTTCTTTGATCCGCTCTTATCTGCGACCAGAGACTCCAGCATTGTTCTGACCATATACAGCTACATAGAGGAACAGAAAAAAAGACTCAGATGAAAGGACAGCAAGTCCGATGCAAAGTTTGTTCTTTACATATGCATGGTTATCAAAGCTCTCGACACAGACAAATTCACATTCCTATTCTGCACTGGTCATCCCGCCGCAGGTGGGGGGGTTCTCTTCTGCATTATTCTGAGTGCATTAACATGCTGATGGAGGGCAAACAGGTGTCAAAGCTTCCCTAGACATCTCCGACAGGCATCAAAAAGGTTGGGTTGTCTGTATTTGTGTCCTTGGATTCCATCTGGAAATGTGGGTGAATGTGTGTCCGCGCAGTACTGTGTTCAAATTTACAAGGTCATTGTTTGGGTCAAACTGTCCTGCAGTGTGGCAGAATTATGACCAGTATAGCATTTTGGGAAACAACTATCCAAATATGTATTTGTAGCTATAAAAAAAACATTTATACAAAATTATTAAATCGAATATTCATAAAATTAATAGTTTAAAAACGTATAAGTGACAAATTTATCGGATTGTGCTAAAGAAACTAAACGACTACTATATGAAACAAAAATATGGAGATTTGTTTAGTTTGAAATAGTGTTTCTATTAAAGTAAAAAAAAAGAACATTGAAATATCAGGATTTATTAGAATTTTTTTAATGCAGAACAATATATCCTCTACAAATGTTACAGTAGTTGATTACACTTACAATATTTAATTAACACTGATATGTACTTCACGTTAACTTAAAATAATAATAAAAATAATAATAAAAATAATATTCTGAGCCTAACTTTGAACTGACACACTTATTTGCATCAACAAAAATAAAAACAAGTAAAATTTTGTTGTTGCATCTTATTTGTTGTTTACCCATGCGCTACTATCCCGTGACTTAACAAATACGTGTTGCACATTCATGCAGCCAAACTTAATTTTTATTATTATTATTTTTTTATCATTTAACTGATACCATTGGTAAAAAACGCACCCTTACGCTTAACACATAATCAGTTATTATGAACATCCCTAGACTTAAACACAAATGCACTTGTACAATTAACTATGCAGTGTATGAGTTTAGTGTCATCCCAAATTGAACACTTACATTTCTTTTTACTAAATGAAAATTCAAACCGTTTCCCAAACCGTCCCATGACCAGTCGTGAGTATAAACGCAATCCAAAATCCAACCTCAGGCCTAAAGCTATGATCGTTGAGTGCATGAAGTGTCCAACATTCCACACTTCATTTTATGAGTAGAATAAGTGCATCATCCGGGTATTTAAAGTGCACTGATGAAGAATAGTGCATTAGTGTGCTATTTAGGACGCTCTTATGTTGTAAAAGAGAAAAAAATATCAAAATCATTTAGCCTGAGGGTGTGTAAATGAACAGAAAATATTTTGTGTGAACTTTCAATTAATTTAGACCGAAAAATACAATTTGGAAAAAAAAGGATTATTTTAATAAACAAATAGTTTACTAAATTAATTTACAAAAAGCTTGAATCAAAATGTTGGTATTAATGTAAATATTTCAGAGACATAAACCTCTTAACAGGCACTGTGAAAAAATCAAGCCCCCTCCTACAGAGCTCAATGACAAAAAAGCTTGATTTCACTCCACACCAACAAAAAAGATTGATAAGCCAATTAACTAACCACAGAAAGAAGAGAAAAAAAAACACGGAAACCATTCTCACAATGAGAGTCAATCAAATTAAAAAGGCTGTTGAATCAAACCCATGCATGAATATCTCTCTCAAAAATGCCAGTAGCAAAGCACTGAGATCACGTTGAGAGGCAGCACAGATTATAGCTCAAATCCCTGAGGCGCTATTGACATTCAATACGACACCTTTCCACGGCACACCGGATCAGCCGTGCTTCATGCAACATCTGCAGCAGAAGCGACTGGATGATTACTATCTCTTCTGAAAGACACTGGGGGAGCCGGTCAGTGTGTGTGTGTGTGTGCTTGTGTATAACAGGTAGGAAAGCAGATAATGGTGTGATTGGTTAAGCTATTTCAGGTAAGGTGTTGCATGAGGTGAAAAACGGGAAGAGACAGCCAATTCAAAATCAACAAATACAGCTTTTGGACTATACAAATGGCTTTATGGAAAATGGAAACAAAATTCTCTCCCAGTTCTTTGATGACTTCGAGACCTGATGAGTTTTATTCATTTAAAAAAATTAGATATGCAATGAAAAGCAACATAAATACTCAACTAATTTGGTAGCCATTTATAACAGCTTTTTTCCTCAATATGCTGATATATTAATCAATATGCTTCTTCGCTGATCTATTGATTAAAGGGATAGTTCCAGCTAAACTTTTAATTCATTTACTAACCCTCAACTAGTTCTAAAATTTTGTGTTTCTTTTTATTCTGTAGAACATCAAAGATATTTTGAAGAAAGGTGAAAACCTGTAACCATTTAGGAAACACAAATACTATAGAACTCAGTAGTTACAGGTCTCTCAGGCTTTCTTCAAAAATATTTTGTGTTCAACAGAATAAAGACACTCATAAAGGTTTAAAACAACTAAATGGTGAGTAAATGATGGCATAATATTCATTTTTGGGGGAACTATCGCTTTAAAGCCCCTAAATACTTCAAATTAAATTAAAAAACAAGCTGAAATAAAGCAATTTCAAACTAAATTTGACTGAAAAAAAGTGAGTTTTGCATTTGTTTTAGCAGTTCGTAACAGCTCACTAACTTGGGGTTTATTTTTGGCTCATAAACAACTTGGCTTCTATTGATCTGTGGCAATAATGATGTCTGATTTGTTCCCCACAAGATCTGTCTCTTATTCCACAGAGGTCAGATACAACATAACAACATAAAAGGTGCTTATTTTACCCCCTTTCAAGATTTAAGATTCGTCTTTTGTGTCTCCAGAATGTGTCTGTAAGGTTTTAGCTCAAAACACTCATCAGTGTATTTATTATACCTTTCAGAATGTTGGATTTTCTGCTCTGAACAACCGTGTAGCTGTTTTTGTTGGCTTTAATGCTAGTTCTCCCTGCCCACTGTTCCCACATGACAGTGTCAGATTAACACCACAGTGACAGACATGAAGGAAGCAGATCTCATGTAATGTTTGTGAGAAATACTACAGTAACAACTTTTCCAATGATTAATTGATGTATTTGTTGTGAAATGAATCCAAGGACACACACACATAGACACACACAGCATGCGCATTTAACTTTTCACTGTTTTTGCATGGCAAATGTGACAGGATGCATATTAATATCCACCTCTGTATGAACATCCGTTATGTTAATGTCCAATATAAACCTGATTTAACGTCCACAAACTGGGATTGAAGCGTCTTCTTTTCTAATTGTACTGACATGCGTCTTTGGTGATAACGATAAAATCAATGTTAAGCCTAATGTATACTTCTGCGTCAAGTGACCGGCATAACCCACGGCGCATGCAACTCGCGTGGCTGTGCATTTATACTTCTGTACTTCTTTATACGCACTGTCTCCGTTGGTCTGCATTAACACTTCCGAAACGCTAGTTGGCAATGAGGTGTAAATGTTCCTCTGTGTCAAGTTTCTTTGCTGTTTTTTTGCTTTTCCTGAACACTTCCGGGATGTACAAGTGGCTCAAACTCGCTCATTTTGATGTAGGAACCGGCGGACGTGCAACAACTTTAACTATGAGGTAAAGACAAAACAAAACTTTCCATCCGGAGCTCCTTCACTGGACTCCACACTTGTAAACAATCGCTCGTGCCATTCGCGCGGCTCTCGGTCCCACCCAGACTCGTCAGCGCTACCAAGCCGACCAATCACAGAGCTTACGCTACGCTTCGTTGCGACCTGTAGTTACATTTTTTGAGAGGTGCATGTCAGTGACGGCAACGGCCACGGCGAAGGGCTATGCGTCAGCGCCGTAGCATACGCCGGCGTTTGACGCAGAAGTATAAATCAGCCTTTATTCATTACAAACCTGCACCGTTTTAAAATCGTTTTAACTTTTAATCGTTTTTAAACTTTTAAAACTCATTAAGAATCACATTTGATGATGATTGATGATAACAGAGAGCTGAACAGATCTTTTAATCCTGGTTGCTTTGCGCACAACCTGTTTTGTTAATATGATCATACATGTTACGGAGACATGTTAATACACGGCTGTCAATCAATTCAGTGGGCGGGGAAACCGCACTCCTACATCACCTTGCAGTGGGCCTCAAAATGGGAAGGATTTGGATCCTATTTTACCATCAGAAATTTAAAAAAAGAGACTTATTGTGTTTCTATCCCTCCAATATGACAGTGGACCCACTATACCTACACACAGTTCTGTCCAAACAGCTTCAAAAAGATGATTTTTATCATAAGTGCCATTTAACATGAGTATACTGGAGAGTCAATTAGCAGAGCTTGTACCATCACCATAATGTTTACCGGGTAACAGAGCATCGTGACATGTTTACAACCCCCTCTCCTGTAGCACAGGTATGTCAGAATGTTCAAAAACAGAATTCCATTAGTCAGCCTTTTTGAGTTTCATTTTTCCCCTCAAAGAAAGTATGATAAAAAACTTCATTTTAAGTATATTGAGCCTTTAAGGTGTCATTTAAGGTGTGAGCCTTTAAGATTGTGCTTAGAAGATTTGAATGTGGAAGGCCATGTACACATACTAAGTCACGCTTTATTTCAAGGTACAATTCTCAATGCGTCAAGACACATTCACTTCCACAGATTGTAGCCAAATAAATCATTTTGTTATGCTGCTTGATGTTACAAACTAGTATTTTCTTATCAAATTATGTGAACGTATACACAAGCACATTTGCTTGTAGTGCAAGTGTTTTAGCAGTTTGTTTTTCCTATATGTTATTCATAGTCATTTACTCAGAGCTGTAATTAAATTCCATGTTTTAACACATTTGCAGAAAAGTGCTATCTTCAGCATTGTAAAACAGTTTATAAAGTCAATTGGAAAGCTACAATGGCTAAATCTGTGCAGATTGCATTTCTACTCATTTTAAAAACTGGGAACTGAAGAGCTGCATACTTGAGTGCTGGAGGGTCCAACAGCGCGACGAGGGACTTTGATATCAAATCCCCCTTTAGGGTCCTTCTCTCCCCGCAGCGCTGGGTCATTATGTGGCTCTCTGCCTGTTTCCCAATCACAGACGGTCTTACGGATGGCCTGGAGGACACTAACACAACAACAACAACAACATCAGTCAGTTTATACAGATCTAAACCACTACAGCAGAGTCTGTCTGCACTATTGTACCTCTGGACGACATTCTTTTTTTTCTTGATGGCCTGGCGCAGCGGTTCACGGAGCGTGACTTGGGCAAAGTCTTGCAGAGCTGAATAAATGGTGTGACGGATGGCGTGGTTAAACACACTTTCCATTCGGCCCATCAGTACCTGCAAGCCCTTTATCATGGCGAGGACCTAAACACAAGCAGACAGAAGCACATTAAAATATTGAATATATATATATATATATAAATGTTCAATCTATATATATATATATATATATATATAAATACACACACACACACATACATGCATAGTTAACTGTAGTAAAGGCTACTAATACTTATTGTTACTTATTGCTACTAATATATTATTGTATTTACTAGTTCATTATAGTTACTAATGAAACTACATTATGAACTACATTAATGAAATTGTAAATATACAATACAATATATTGCTTATTCCTGAATATTTCTTTAATAGAACTGCCAATGAAAGATGAAGCATAACTTTTCTGTTTAGTTATTTACTGTAAATAATATGCTGTACCAAGGAGAAACAAATGATAGTATATAACAGCAAAAATAAAATAAAAAATCCAATAAAACCAGGTGTTGCACATTTAAAATACTATATTATTTTATAGTTAATCACTTCTATTATTCAATTCTATTATGATTGACATTGATTTAAGTTGCTTCGATGTAAAAATGAAAATTGCAAAAATAGCTTAGATGTAGCTACTTCTGCCAAGTAGCTTTTAGTTTAGCTTGCTACATTTCCCAGGGGTAGCTTTTATTGTAGTTAAGCTACATTTTAAGTAGAGTATCTAGTAGCTTAGCTCACTACGTTTTCCAAGTAGCTTGCTCAACACTGATTAAATGACATCTGAATTAAATTTTTAATAAACAGCAAAGCCCTCCCCCACACAAACAATGACAGATTGTTGTAGCAAGCTTCATTTTCATACTTGGTTTGGCATTGAAAGAGATGCAATGACCTAAATTGTATGTGGAGAATTACACAGCTAAACATCTTTACTAACCTCCACCAGAGCAAATTTCTCCTCACTGGTGTAGTTGTATCTGGTAGCACGCTCATACTCTTCAGCATTGTCAGGGCATTCTTTGTTGGAGTATTTGTCTGTAGGATGCACCAATTTCCAGGAATACTGCAAAAAGAACAACATTTGACTGTCTTTCATGTATAACTGATGATGCAAAGGATGTATGAATATCAAATGATATCTTCAAAGCAGCTTGAAAAAATAAATAAATAAAAGCAAACAGCAACACATCTTAGAAACTGTGATCCATCATATCCAGCCTAATTACCTGGAAAATCAAAATACGTCTTATTAATTGCAAAGAATGGATGTGTTTCAGGTTGTTTCCATGGCAACATTTGAAAAAGCTTGGTGGTACTATGAAACATTTTATTTAAAATGACTATTCCAAGAATGAATTCAAAAAGCATTGCTGATCTTCTGGAAGTAAGTGAAGAAATGAACACCACTGGTCTGACAAGCCCTCATCTACTTATTCAGTATAGTTCAATCTTTTGATATTGATGTTGGTAGTAGCAATAATTAGAGGTTTGTTAGTCTTTGAATCTTTCCTGCCTGATCAAGTGTGTGGTCTTTTTGACACAGAAAAAATATTTCTGAGAAGGAAAAAAAAAACATCTTTGCATATTTATTAAGTAACTCAATTAAGCAAATACTGAACACTTCTTTCAGACGGCCCTCATTTAAGAGCCTTTGACAGGCTGGTATTAGTTACCACTGTGAGGCTTTTGCAAAGAACTTGGCATGTTCATTGATCTGTTAGAGAACTGAAAATTTCATTCAGAACACAAGAAAAAATGTAGAGCTGCCAGACAAACACCTCACATGAATATGTATACAATATGGCCACAATACCGTTATTTATGCATTGAAGTGTGAGGGAGAAAAATATCTCATTACACTTCAGTGTCTAAAAGAGCTACTTTCGTAAAAAGGCATTTTTATGCACATAATTACTTATTACAGTAAAGAGAAATTAACATCAATATCAGGCAAACTAATTGTCTCAATTTTGTATTTTTAAATACATTTGTTTTGGCTATACAAATTCTTTAATGTGTTACACTACGACTATGACCTGACACATCTAACATAACAAACTGATTCTTTCCGTTCCCCTCACTGCATTTCTACCACCACCATATAATTATAATGCAATTGAATTTTTTTAAAAACAATACTGCCTACATAAATCACTCATCAATAGTCAAATTATGTGTATATGTTTACATATGTTAAAGGTGTATTATGTTAAATCTTGCACACTACTTGTCTTTGGGTCTATATGCGTGTGTAACACGTGTATATTTACAATATAAATCAATTTAATAATATCAATTTATTTATACACTGTATTTAAATGTAATGTAATGTAATTTTTTATTTATTGCCATCTCAGCAACCAAGGCTATTTCATGGCAAAAACATTTCAATAATAAATAAACATTTAAGAACAACAAACAAATGAATACACAAGTTAAATACAGATTTTTTTTGTGTTAATACATGATAAGAATTCTTCCTTAAGTGAATTAATTTCATTAAAAAAGTCTTCTGGAATCATTAAAAGCAGGACAGTCTAGTAAAATGTGTTTTACAGTAAATGGAGTTGTGCAGAACAAACATCGTGTGGGGTCTTCATCTTTAAGTAAAAAGGCGTGAGTAAATCTTGTATGTCCAATACGACATCTGGTAAAAATCACTTGATCAAATCTAGTCTTAAAATGTCTTAAAAGTCTGTTTGAGATTTCAGGTTGGATTTCATGTAATTTATTATTTTCCAATGCATCCTGCTCCTCTTGCCACTTATTTAAAATGTAAACGTTGATAAAAGATCTCATATCTGATGGAGGAATTTGGCATTTGTTCACCATTTGCTTCAAAGCATCTTTAGCATCTGCATCAGCTCGCTCATTTCCTGAAAGCCCGATATGTATTGCAACCCAGCAAAAAATGATGTGATAAAACTGATTTTGTAGATGGTGAACTTTGGTCAAAATATTATCAATCAAAGGATGATCATTCTTTGTAGGTTCCATCACTTGGACGCATGATTTAGAGTCTGTAACATAATGGAGTTCTTCTGCTGGACATTTTCTATATACAACAAAGCTAAGAGTAAAGCACGGACTTCAGCTGTGAATATGGAGCATTCTTTAGACAGACTGACTCCACTATATTGAAACGTATATTGTCCTAAAAGTATGGTATTGTATTGTGCACTGTATTATGTATATTTGTATCATGTATATTGTCTCAAATGTACTGTATGTTACTATATTTTGCACTGTCTGGAGCCTGCACTTAAGCTTTTCGCTCATAGCGCACTAGCTGCTGGTGATGTTATAATAAAAGTAATCTGATTCGATTCAATTCGACTACTTCTGTACTGAGTTCTGTTCTGACAGTTTCAATTAAATTTTCTAGACTGACAGTTTCATTTAACTAGAACTTCTATGTTCAGCTGCTTTGACATAATCTACATTGTAAAAGCGCTATATAGATAAACATGAATTGAATTTTTTTATTAATATATTAATCACCAGTGTTTACCTAGTGTCAAATTAAAAATAAAAATGGAAACTTTGTGTTCTAATATACTTTTTGACAACACTGTTCAGACTTGAGTTGTCCAAACAAACAAAACTTATTTAAAGGGCACCTTTTTTACCAGATGTAAGATAAGTCTTTGGTGTATCCAGCATGTGTCTAAAGTTTCAGCTCAAAATACCCATCAGATTATTTATTATAGCCTCCAGAATCTGCCCATTTTGGTGTCTGAGTACATTGCCGCTGTTTAGTAGCCTGTGGCTTTAAATGCAAATAAGCTGCTTCTCTCTGCCCACCATTCCCATGTGCGTGTCTGCTTATCATGTGTAATGTAAGAGCCTAAATTATCATTTGCATTTGTTTATATGACAAAACATGTCATTATGTCTCAAGAAAGTCCATACTGACTCCACAGGCTGATACTGATAAGATCAGGGCCTGGTATGTGGACTTTGGGGGTTTTACGATGTGGTCACATGCTGATTGGTCAGTTAGAATGTCTCAGCATTTCGGCTTTAGTCAAGAAAGATATAAAATAGGTGTAAAATTCTGCTCTGTCTCTTTTCCTGGCCTGTCTTTTCTGTCTTTGAGCTTTCCTGCTCTGCTCCTCTCCTCCTCTGGAGTCTCTGACTCTACTGCAATCAGGCTAACTTCTAGGCCTGCTCTCTTTGTCTTTCTCCCCCTCCCCCTGTGTCTCTTCTTCTACCTCTAGTAAGTCTAATTTTACATTTAAGCTGGGTACAATTCATATCATTTGTTTTATCATTTCATATTTGATCATTTTATACAGTTATAAATTCATTTGTAACCATTATACATCAGATAAACAGCAGTCAGTGATAGAGACAGACGCATGAAACTGAAATACAGCTCATTAATCAAAAATACAAAGTAAGTTTATTTAATGCATTTGTGGTGGAGTTTATTAAAGCTTTTCTGAAATGATGAGTCACACACAAATGCCGTTTGCTATTCACACAGACAAACACGTATTAGCATTTACTGACACCATGGTGATTATAGCGGTTAAGAATGACATATTGATTTTACTGTCTTTACTACAAACATGCTCTGTTTTAATTTTTTGTTTCAAAACATATTACTTAAATCACAACAAAAAATGTTCTACGGACGTTAGGGCTGTAACGATACACGATATGAAATCGAAATCGCGACACTCAGATCTACGATCCTGTGTCGCGGTGTGATAAGGGAGAATCGCGACACACCACGTGACTACCTTTTCAATAACGTCACGCGTGCCTGCAAAAGTTGAGCTAATTATCACTTTTTTTCCGTTCGACATACGAGCACTGCTCCGTTTAAGCCCTTGCAATATTTAGCCGGGAGAGCTCGCACGGAGCTCTTAGTAAGGGACCATCTGAATGTGTCAGGAATATCAAAAACAAAACCAACTTAACCCCGCTTGACAACCGACAACGCCAGAAACATTGCCAATGCTGTCAAAGCGACCGGATTTTCAGCGCATATAGGTTGATTTGCTCACACTGTTAATGTGGCTGCGCAGAGAGGGATGGGCGTTCACCAGATGTCAGGTAACAGCGCAAACTTTTCTGTAACCGTGCTGTGCGCTTTCTGTTTGAACCTTTGAGAGTGCTGACTGACAGGTGCGCGAAGCGTGAGGTCAGAAAACACGACGAAGCTTTCAGTTAAGATGAACACAGTTTCTATAGCTATACTTTATTTATAGATAAAGGTATATGGCTCTGTATATAATCACTTTATCTTGCTGGAGTTAGCCGTTTCGCTTTACTTCAGGACGCATTAACACCGCTCTGATGGTCTAATCGCTGTTTTAAGTTATCCAGAGCTGTATGAATGTACAAATCATGAATATCACAATATTATTAAATATTACAATTACAACAACACAGACAGCAACACTTTTGCACAATCGATACCCAGCTGATTCAGTCGTTTCATGAGAGGACCGCGCCTCTTTTTTTTTTCCTCCTTGTCAACATAAAGGCAGTGAAGTGCGCCTTGTATTCGGCCCCTTGTTTAACTGCAAGACATACTTATTTTGCGGGACGATAACATATAACCCGTGCCTACAGACACATTTTCCAAAGAAGCAAAATGGAAGAAGAATATTGCTGTTTGATACAGACGTGTTGATGCTGCAGCGCTTATGTTGACCTGGATCTGCGTAATAAACGCAACAAATAGGCTTTACTTTTTATTTTAAAGCTTATAAAGCATGTTTGCACATTAATGCAATATCATATTTTAACACCAAAACTGTTTACAAAAAGTCAACATATGCGCGCGTGTTGTTGTTGTCTTTTCATCACGCAGTGCGCGCACTTGAGCCGCGAGGGAGAGAGAGGAAACCATAGGCTATATCAGGACATATTCTTTAAAATAATGATTTCTATTAAAAATGTAAAAGGGTTTTGTGATTATAATAATAACAGCGGGGCATTAAATAAATGCATATTTTCCGTGGCGCAAGCAATTTGAGGAAGTCTGCGATTTTTATTTGACGGAAGAAAAAAACATATGATTGGAAAAAAAAGCCTATGCCGGTTACTAAAAAGAATCAGTCAGTATTTTCGTTTTGTAATATAAATTAATTATTTAAGTGAAAATAATTTAGAGCAGTCCTATTTGTTTTATTTATTTTATTTAGATTATTCTGCTCTTCTGTGCTAAATACTGCAGTTGCGTGAAGATGCTCCGTTGTTATGTTCTATTATTAATATAACAAATAAAAATAAATCAGTATTTTAAAATGCAATATTTAATGTGTCAGACACAAAATAGACAGGTCAATTTGTTTAATATAAAATTAATAGTAATCTGACCAGTTAACCATTAATAACTTAATGAGCAGCGTTTGTCGGTTAGCAAAATTAACGAAATGAGCATCCCTAGTAGCTATTTAATTTACTTTTTCTATATAAGAGAACTTGATTGAAAAAGAATTTTCAACATGCTTGAACCATCTACACAATGGATTTTAGTTCTGTTTGGTTTTTCAACAGTATTTTGTTACAAAGAAAACAAAAGTGATATAGCCTTGGCTATTTATTTATTTTATATATGGCTATTTATATTGTTAATAATTTGCATAGGTAATATTGTTCTTTGATGTTTAGTTTATAAAGATTTTTCAAATGTTATTTAATAAAAAAAGTTTTAACAATCTTTTTTTTCCCCACCCCACAAAAAAAAAATAAAAAATCGTGATACGAACCGAATCGTGGGTCAAAAATCGTTATACGAACCGAATCGTGGGTTTGGTGTATCGTTACAGCCCTAATGGACGTGTGTATGCATGTTATTATAGAAACATGGCGCCTGTCAATCAATTTGCTGGGCGAGGAAAACAACACACCTATGTCACTTGCAGTGGCCCTCAAACTTTGAGATTTGGATCTTATTTTAACGTCAGGAAATTTTTAAAAAGAGACTTGTTGGGTTTATATTACTCCAATGAGATAGTGGACACACTATACCTACACACAGTTCTGTTCAAACAGCTTATTAAAGTTGATTTTTATCATAGGTGCCCTTTAAGTAAATCTGACCTTTGTGTCAGAATTAGATAGTCATCTTAAAGAAATACTATTTTTACATATCTTCATTTAGTATATCTAAAATGTATGATATAGGACTTTAAAAACTAAATGAATGCAAACAAAACAAACGAACAAATAAATACAAAAATAATATTTTCATATTTTCAATGTGGACAGATTTGCACATTTTAACAACATTAAACCAAAAATTAATTCATGTATAACCCTACATAATCATCACAGCTCAAAAGTTGGAGATCAATTTTCCCCTGGTTTGTGATCACATGCATAAATATGAGTGCGCGACAAGTCCACTCACCACTTCCATGATCTGAGCGCTCCACTGAGAGAGCAGCTGCAGGCCCTGCAGAGCCAGATCAAACAACTTCCTGTACTCAGAGTCCGTCTTCTGAGCGTCCTGACGCCCAGAGCCAGTCACCACCTGACAAAATGAGGAAAAGAGCTAGTAAACAACATGACATAACACCTAACACAACCAGCATCATTAAATGAGTAAATGAGTAAATTAATGAAACGCAGAAAAGCTAATGGCAAAACACCAGGAGCCCCGACATAGAAGCCAATGCATCCAAAATGAGTAAACAGAGGAGGAAATGCCAATGCTCAGTATCTCTGCACTTGTTTCAACAGTTCCTGACAGCAAAAGACGCAAGCACTGTGTCAAAACCCTTGACATCTGACAACCAGAGAGCGGTGCACTGAACAAACTAATTCAGCCCCGTTTCTCCTTTTCACTGAGCTGCTGTCACTGATAGCGGAGCCCAGTTGTCCTGTGGCTGCCAATACCTTCTCATTATAGCCTCCTGCCGTGTCTTGATTCAATCCCAGGCTGACGTCCTCCCTGCACATTTCCATATTCATCTGCAGAAATATTGACCCCAGTGGCTGTGAATGCAAACTTGCGGAGAACGAGTCTTGGAAGCATTTCACCCGTGGAAAAAGGGAATCATGTATGAAGCGAGAGCTGCTCGGCCTCCCACAGCTAATAAATATTCATGTTAAATACTCATATATGAGCTAAAACCTAATAAGACACAAACTTTTGATTTTCATTAAGCTGAATGATTACAGAAAGACATCTGGTCACCCTTTATAGTAAGCCATAACTAATATAACCATAACTAATATAAGCCATAACTAATATGTAATTACACTGAAATTATTGTGCTTTTACATTGTATTTATGATCGATAAAATACCTGCATAGAGTGACAAGGTGGCTCAGTGGTTAGCACTGTAGCCTCATAGTAAGAAGGTCTCTGGTTCGAGTCTCAGCTGGGTCAGTTGGCGTTTTTGTGTGGAGTTTGCATGTTCTTCCCGTGTTGGTGTAGGTTTTTTCCAGGTGCTCTGGTTTCCCCCAAAGTCGAAAGACATCTGACATAGGTGAATTAAATAAACTAAACTGGCCGTAGAGTATGTATATGAATGAGTGTGTATGGATGCTTCTCAGTACTGTGTTGCACCTGGAAGGGCATTCGCTGAGCAAAACATGTGCTGGATAAGTTGGTGGTTCGTTTCAGTGGCAAAGGAAAATGAATGAATGAATGAATGAATGAATGAATGAATGAATGAATACCTACATGTGATTACATCTGTAATTAAATTTTTACACATAAACCTACCCATATCACTAAACCAGTCACTAAGGCTACCCGTATCTCACCTCAAGGGAAGCAGAAGTGTTCATTATGAACACAGTACGTACATTGTATTTAATGTTTCAAGCAAGTACATTGCAGCCTAGTAAAGTCCACCTATGATAAAGTGGAACTTTATTTTTCAGAATCCATTATGCTGAAGCATTTTCAGTTCAAGGTGAATCAGAGTTCTAATAAGTATACTTTCCTTTCTTTGATGGCAAGGCTGAATTTTCCAGGTTTCACTTGTAAAACATTAGAATGTGCTGGTCGAAATCTAATCAAGAAATATTTTTCTCATTATTATCAATGCTTAAAACAGTTGACAACAGTGCTGATAAAACATCTTTGTGGAAGGTTCAAAAGAAAATAATTAATAATAATAATTTAAAAAAACTGTTTAATGTTTAATGCATGAAGTGGGATACAGTGTGCTCAGATTTAGCCCCTGATCCAGTCTGCACTATTGTAGAGCAACTGCTTTTTGATATCAATTATTCAAGGTAAAAAAAAAAATAAGTTTAAAACTCAGGTCCATTTTGAACCAATGTACTTTGAAAAAAAAGCAAGTTACGTTGCAATACATGAGGGGCCCATTGTGTACATTTTGTCAAAATGAGACCAATTGTCTGAGATTTTGACAATTCCCAACTTACTGCATCCTTGCTGAAGGAATACATTTAAGGGGAGGCAAAATCAGAAAAATATAATATACATCTTTTCATGTTTTATTAAGTGCCATCAATAGTCCATTTGACACTACTACAGTACTACTATTAAAATATCAAATGTGAGCAACACTTTGTATCAACATATAACTCAAAAAAGTTGCTTCTTCAATCTACTCATTTATGAGCTGAAATGACAATTCTTGAGATTTTTGGAGACAACTTATGCAGAGTTCAGACTGCATGATTTAAGTTTGGGGAAGAAGTTAAAATTGCTTTTTTTCAGTTAATCTGGACCCAGGAAATGAAGGAAAAACTAGTGTAAATTTGACAGAAGCACTCGTGTCTGTTTGACATGTCATTTAAGCAATGTCACAAATGGGTCGAAAAAAAAGTTGAGAAGTTGCTAATTCCCTTGTGAGCAAAGGCCAGGGACCTCAGGTACGAAGACTTGCGTGGAAATCTTACTAACACATTGCGAAAGCACAAAGCTGTAAATGTGCGTACGCAGTGTTTCATACATCTGAATTTTTTTCTGCGTACGCACATTTACAGCTTTGCCGAATCTCACGCATATTCTTTTGTACATCCGAATGAACGTGAAACTGAGCGCAACATGCACGAGCACAAAACCCCTCCCTGCCTCCTCCCCCGTATGAATATGCTAATGACTATGCTAATGGCAAAACCCAACGAAAAAGCAATGGCAAAATCAAGAAAAAAGAGAAACTTTGAACAGAATGTGAAATGGAGGTGCTGCTTTCGGAGGTAGACCGGAGAAAAGCGGTGTTATTTGGTGTCATTTGTTTTCCGGAATTAACAACAAAAGAAAAAAATAGAGTGGGAGAGTTTAGCTGATGCGGTTAACACAGCTGGGTCTGAACATCGCACTGAGTGCATTAAAAAAAGATATAGTGTGGTTTATATCTGTAAAATGTTGCAATACCCCTAGTAGTCTCAGTGGCGCACCTCGTAAGATGCATGTGATCATGTATTGACACGTTCTAGCATAAACTCGGCTCGAATCCAGCGTCTGATGAACTCTTTCTTCTTTTTTTCCCCGCTACATATCAGATTTTGCCCACTATTTATCACGAGAAAGACAAGTAGGAATTATCAATAAGTTTGTGCATCATATTTTATTTGCACATTTATTGAATGGAAATGTTTCTGATTCACGCATGCAAATTCATCTTCAGATGTGCGTGCGGTAGATCGCTCAGATTACATTGGGAAAACAGGCGACTGCTGCAAATTGTGCTTTAATTTTTAGCTGATCAACTGTATGGTATGGAAACCTTACATACCTGCTAGATGAACCTGTCTCATACAGCTGTCATTGCAAGGCTCAGACACTTTGTAGAGAGGAATTTAACACAACTGCCTCTAGGAGTCGCCAATGGAAATAAAACAGACACGCACAAAAAATGTGCGTACGCCAGCCATAAAGCTGCCATGAAGCTGCGCACATTCCCACGTTCAGTTCATTGTTAGTAAATCCAAACGTGAGTGATTCTGAGCGTGAAACCTGGCGTATGCAAAGTTTTTGTGCGTACGCAGCGTTGATACATGAGGCCCCTGGTGAGCAAAAAAAGTACATTTTCTACCCCACTAAAGACTTCTTTCTAATTATGTAGAAAATATCAAAAGATACTACGTGACCTCACATTGTTTCCATGTCAGTTCTCGTGTGTTTGGTTGTGAGACATAGTTTGTGGATCGAGACAAAGTTGCCAGCGATTCTTCCTATTGTAAAGTCATGCAGTGTGAAACCCCCTGTTGCCGATCCATCTTGCAGTGTAAACGAAACAGCAATGAAACGCTACCCCAGATAGTCATGCAGTGTGAAAACATCTGTGACACGACTACTTTGAAAATCGTGCAGTCTGAACTCGACATTAACTGTTAAATGTTTAATCTACTTAAATTTGTTAAGTTAATTTAATCGATTTGTGTTGGGACAACATGAATGAATTATGTTTAACTCTGTATGTTTTACAATGTAGTATCCATTACTTTATTTGTATTTTTAATGATTATTTTATTTTGCCAATAACAGACACAACTCATTTGGAGCTTATGTCCAAAGAAGTAAGATATATTTGTTATAAATCTTATTACTGACCTAAAATTAATTCATAATTTAAAATATTTTTATATTTTTATTTTCCAGAAACAACTTTATGAGATACTGAACTCATTTGTGTTTACCAGGGTCTGAATCGAAGAACCACTCTTCTGCTTCATCGGAGATCTTATGTTTAGAAAGAGCAAATGATTTGGCAGATTAGGTAACAGACATTTCATCTTCCACCACCGTCATGGCATTATGAGTCAGAGCACTATGACTGAAGAGCCTGTGCTGCATCTGTTTAAAAAGAGAGCGAGCAAAATGTTTTCTTCTTTTAAAAAGTGCTCACCTCACTGTTGCTGTATCGAGCCAATTCAGAAATGAAGCGCATGTGATCCTCCCGGATTTGAATCATCTGTTCGCAGACATTGTACTGTGGGCTACTGCCTGCTGACGTGCATGACCACCTACAGAACAGAAGAGGACAGACAATTACAAAAACATGAACGGTTTCTAGTAAAGATTTTCAGGGATCCTATTGTACAAAACAAAACACTTTTATAAAGGGTTTAAACACAGTTGTGCAGCAATAGTGTGTGAAAATAAGCAGCTTCTAATGAGAAAATTGTGTTTTGAAGAGTACAATCGAGGATTCAACCTCTGTTTGGATCTTTTGCCTGCATGCATCGACATCAATACCAGACATCGCCAAATATGAAGTGCTGGTTCTGGTAAAACATAAACAAGCCTTTCGTGGAATCGTGGGATTGATCGTGACATGAAAACGTACTGCATCACTCAGGTTAAATCTTTATAGGGTTATTCACATATTGTCCAAGACCATGTTGAAAAAGCAGCGCATGCTTCTGCTTTTACTGATTTAAATGTGTTTTGTACTCACTATCTCCTGCTGTTTGTTGCTATGGCCATCGTCAGCTGAAGTAAAAAAGTGTCCCTCACACACTGCACAGCCATTTTTTCAAAATAGTTCAACTTTTGCCACTTGTGAATTAATACTGAATGTGTGTTGTTGATATTACTTGGGGTTGTGTTTAAGAATAGAGAAATGCTGGTGTGTAACTACATTGCTTTAATGCATTCCTGCATTGGCCTCACACACTCTGTGCTCCGAGTACTTCATAACTGTGCTGAGTGTTTCCTAATGTCTTGCACTAAACGCAGTGGACCAATCACAACAGACTGGCTCATCAGACCAGTCAGCGCAGATTAGCCTCACGCAAAGGAAGAATTTGGGACAAATGAATCTCTGAACAACTTATATGGGGTCGTTGGAATAATTAGGCAAAAATAAATGCCTATTTTAAGACAATGAAAGTGTTTTTTGACATTGCAAGCATATCAGCCTGTTATTAAAGACCCCCAAAACCAAAATATTAAAGCGACAGTCACCAAAATGGCAAGATTAGGATCAAAGCCTTAAAGGGTCACAAAACACCAAAACACATTTTTTGAGCTGTTGACAGTCGTATATGTGTCCCACACTGCTAAAAACACTATTAGGACACCTATATTTCACTAAAAAGTGTAAATTGGTTGTTTTTGCGTTATTTCAAGCAAATTCGTACTTCCTGTTTGAAACGAATTTTTGAAGCTGCGTCACGGTCATGACATAATAGCGTTGTATTCCAGCGTGCAGACTGGGCGTCTGTGCCAGAGTGAGTCTTATTACGTCTTACAGTGTGATACATTAATGCATGAGTAAGGCTTGGTTCAAACCAATCAGCGAGCTCTATTGTGCAACTTCATTAATATTCATTAGTGTCACTGTTTACACCACAGAGACGCCACGTTGTGTTGGCAAAACAAGCGTGAAGTGTTGCTTTTATAGTTTGCTGCCATTAAGTTTCGTGTTCCTTTTCTCTCTGTGAGAGCTCAGACTCACGTGTGGATTAACAGTGTACGCGACGCTCGACAACAATAACTTACGTGTCTAAGGAGGAACATTGTTTACCTGAGAGCTGTTCTCATCTGCAAATGCTGAAATCCGGATTTGCTTGTAGTCTTCTCCTCATAAAGACGCGGCTCTAGTTGCTTGTGATTGTCCTGTCTCTACAGATTTGGTAAGTGAGCGACCAGTGCTCTTTGTTTATTCAGTTTGTTCGTATCGAATTAAGTTAACTATTGCACTGAGTGCAAACTTGTTTGCACCGCATTTTGTGACCGGAATAACACACGCGGCTTTCTGACGATACCTGCCGTGTGCATCTAAGTTTCCGGCTATTGCGGAGTTTTTTTTTCTCTCATTTGCCGTGCGGTATCAAACATTGCATGAAAAATACACGCTTAGAGCAGATCCTCGAATCAAATATTGCGTTTGTCGCGAGGGGCATGAATGAATTCCCTGAATGAAAGAGCCAAACTGCAGTTAAAGTCCAACATTTAATAATTTGGCAAATAATTCGACTACAGATGTCCATGTAGGTTAAACACCATTTTCTCATGTGTGTGTATTTTGACTGAAACCCGCGCGTGCCCAAATAGACACTCCCACACCCTCCCACTTTAGTTCCTCCGACACTCCCCCCTAAACACAGCTGGACACGCCCACTTTTCTGACTTTTTCCAAAGTAGAGGTGTGAAAACACCCTGCTGAAACGAGGGGGTTTCATGGCCCTTTAAAGGGCAGTTTCAAAGAGTTCTAAAACAAAATTTTTGGGGCATTTTGAGTTGAAACTTCAGATTAACACTCTAGGGTACACCTTGTAAAAAGAAGCATAATAGGTCCTCTTTAAACATTGTCAAATTTAAATGTACTTCTTGTTCTTTCATTACAAAAAAAGCAATACAGAATACTTTCTTGATTTGCGTTCTCAATTTCTTTTGCATTGCAAAGTCTTGGAAAAGACCAGCTTGTAGTTTCTTAAAATATCTTAAGAGAGATTATGGATTATGAAATCAGAAGAGATCAATTTTCGATTAATGTCTACTCCCTTAATTAGAGAGGGATTGATTGATGCCAGCTTCTATGGCTATTTTCATGGTGAGAGAATGTATACTAGCGACATAGATTATATTTACAATTAGTTATAATATATTTACAATTAGTTTTTGCTAAAAACTTTAAAACTGTATTTGGATAACACTGGTAAAAATCTCTTCAAACAAATGCACTGAACACAATAACTTCCTCACAGGATTAAAACCAACACAATCTAACAAAGCATGCTTCATACTTAAGATGCTTTTACAGATAGAGCATATGGGATGGTCTTCTCTAATATACAAAGTCTTGTGTGTCAACCTAGAGTGACCGATTCTTCAACAGGTAAAAACTATTTGATTGCTGGAAAATGTAGTTATTTTTCACCCAAAAATGAAAATGTACTTTAGGGTTTATTCTCAAACTGGTTCCAATTCTTTTTAAGTGTTTTTTCTCTTAAACACAAAAAAATACATTTTAAAGAATGTTGGTCATTGACATTGACATCCATTGTAGTAATAATATAATAAATGTCAACAGCAACTAGTTTCTAATATTCTCTAAAATATCTTCTTTTTTCTTTAACAGAAGGAAGAAAACCAAGCATGTTTAGAACAAGTGTTAAATAAAGAAAAGACAGAACTTTCCTTTTGTTGGACAATCTAAGCCTTTAGGACACTCACCTAGACTTGTTTTCCTCGTAGTGAGCGCTGGTTTTGATATAGCGAGCCAATTCAATCTGCATGTCACCAAACAGAGGCACTACCTGCAATTGCTGTAGTGGTAGAGCAGAATGTTAAACAACTTCAAAATCCACCTCAAGCAACTGCAGATGAGACGGACCACTTTACAGCTAAACTAATATGCATTTTATTTATTTCCATTAACACTGTGAACGGTGCGCACATGCCCACGCACACACACAAACCTTAAAGAACTTGTCGATCTTTGTGAGGTTGATTCTCTTCTTAGCTTCCAGTTTGTAGATGTTGCTGTTACTTCCATCCATGAGATAGAGACCAAAGCCCATTACCTACAAAACACAGACACAGCAAACTATGTGGGAAAAACTATAAAGAAAATGAATTAATGCGTTTATATAATGATTTTTAAAGTTCAAAATAGAAAAAGATTTAACATTTTCAATCTACTTGGGAAAAGTGACCGTTTGAAAGATGACAAGGCAGAAATATTGATACTGAACATTTTGATTGCCACCAAGAAATATCAGCCAAAACATAGAAACTAGAAATTCAATGATTTTTAAAAAGATTAAAAATAAAACACTTTTTGTATTAAGAATTTATACTATCATTTGGACATTAAAAATTAATAATTACATTTTTTTAATTAAATCAAATCAACGTGACAGTAAATACATCTGTATGTTGTGAGGTAAATACTTTATTTTTATTTAGCTGTTCTTCTTTTAGCTTCTATTTATATAAACAATTGAGGATTAATGTTTGTAATATTGGGTTATCAAGATATATGTGTATTCTGTGCAGTTTTTTTGTAATTTATTTATAGTATGTTTATTTTTTCTTCTTTTCTCTCTTAGATAAATGTAATTTCAACTTGTTTAGAGGGTAAGGGTTGGAATAATATATTTGAATTTCTCTGTAAAATTACTTTGCTATATCTGTAAAAGTGTAATAAAAAGATTTTAAAAAGAAGCTTCTATTTATTACAAGTTTTTAAAAAGTAAAGTTTCCACAAAAAAAGGAAAAACAACTATTTTACAGCTAATAAGAAATGTTTCCCGAGCACCAAATCAGAAAATTAGAAGCCATATTCGTATGCTCTGAGGGATCATATGACACTGAAGAGTGAATTAATGCTGCTGAATAAAATCCCCCCTATATGGTCACAGCATTTAATGCAACCATTTTAATAATAATAATAAAAAACTGCTGTTTTAAATTACAATAACATTAAACCATATTTCTGTTATTATCTTTTTTTTCAGAACAGACTTTCAAAATTACATTAAAAAATCTTCCAAAACATTAAATGAACATGTTTAATGTTTGAGGAAAGTAGAAACTTTAATTAGAAAATAGATTAAGTTATTTACATTATACAGGAAAAAAGTGTGCACAGTATGCTCCATAGGACAGTGTGTAAAATGTCAGCGAGTTCAAGCTTACTTTGAGTAGCATGTGTTTCTCACTAGGGGTGAGGTACATCTTGTTTTCATAGTAATCCACACACAGGTTAACAATGTCTGCCAACAGCTCATCGTATCCGTTAATCACTTCAAGCTGCTGCTGCAGGGACTGAAAGAGAAATGCCTGTTAATATCAGAAACTCATAAACAGAACACGTCTCAAGCAATATAGCAAGTATTTGCATTTATTACATTGCTCTATCAAGGGACTGGGAGTCAGTTTAGCAAATGTCAGTGTTTAATAACAGCTCTATGCTACTGTATAACAATTAAGCAAATGTAATGAACGCAAATCAAGTCAACACTATTTGTTTGTCACAATACTTTATATTCACATTATTTTCTCTGCAATAAGGAGACAGTGCAATACCTGAGTGATCTTATTGTGGTTGGCCAGAAACATAGATAGGTTTTGGGATTCCTGAATTGATGACGGCTCTGACATTTTCCTCAGGAATTGAGCAGCTCTGATGGACAGAGAGGAAAATATATGCAAAACAAGAAAGACTGAGGCAGAACACACTACAATAAGGCCAATTCTACAAATGTTAAGCTTTCAGGAAAAAAAAGCATTATTTATCTGCAAGAAAACCAACATCAAAAAATTGTAAGATGCATATATGTTCCTTTTTTTTGCAGTAGGGAGATGGAAATGTTAACAGAACAAAATAAAACCTACTGGCCTTCAGCAAAAAAATAATAAATCAGGAAAGATGTAAACAGAATTTAGAAATGACAGCCATGAGGACATAAAAAGACAGCAAGAGAGAGTGATGTGAAAAGTGTTAGATGACAGGAGGTGGAAAGCTGGAAGAGTGGTTGACAAATTTGACATTTTATGAAGTGTGTTCAGCGGGTGGGCAAACCTAAAATAAACTTAAATACAGCAACTCACACAAACACTGAAAAAGCAGAGAGTACAAAACTCTAGTATCTTTAGGGACATGATGACAGTTTAAGACACTCAGGACTCTTCTGTGCAACATATGAGCAGAGAAGGGCTGTGTGATATATACGATATATTACATCTCAATTTTTTGGGATTATTTTTAACAATTGTAAAAAGGCGGTTTTTGTATATAAATATGTTTCTGTTATGGTACCATAGTTGGTTTAGGCCTGCGATGTAAAAAATTACACTTAAACCATCATTGGCAAGTCCCTGTGCTAATGAGTGGCTCATTCATTAATTCATTAAAATAATTGTTTATAAGTGGTAGGTTTGTTTCAGGTGACCATCGCTGTGAATGAATCACTAAATCAATGACTCCATGGATTAGTACAAAAATAGATTCATTCATGAACAAAACACCACAGTGTTGCTTTGAGATGCAACACTGGCTTTGTTTGAAATTGTGTTTCCAAAATATATACATGTTTTTTAAAATCTAACAGTGTTGTCTAAATAGTAACCTACTCAACGATAACCTGCTATTAACTCTTATTACATTTTAAAATACCTGTTTAGTATTGTATATACGTTTTAGGCACTATAACAATAACTGTAGTTATTGTTTTCAATGCCACAAGATCGTTCTGTGTTCATCACAGTAAGGTGCTCCTTTTTGCACACTTCCGGATCACATGATCTCCTACTATGATCTCAAAACCAAAAAATACAGATTTATAAATTATATAAATTATAAATAAAATAATTTATAATAAATTTCTAAATTAAATTATACAACTTAGAAATTCTAAACGAAAATACAGAAAAAAATCCATAATATTACATCACAAACTATGTAATATATAATAACAGAATATAATATATAATATAACAGATATAATATAATATAACAGAATATAACAAGGAAAAACAACATAATAATTCAACAAAATATAGCCAAAAAAAAAAACTTTACCCAAAACACCTACTTAAACATTCAAAAATCCTTAAGAATTATTCAATTGAATAATTTACATAGCCTTTAAAATTTGCGTTTCTGAACATCGATGTGCTATTCGACATCATGATCCTAGAAGTCCTGTTGCGCAGCACTTCTCAGTTTTGAGAGTCCACTCTACAATACATAGGGATTGAAGTTGTGAAGTGTCCATGGTGGGGGGTGGGGGGGATCTTTTGGATCTTCACTCTAGACACATTGTCTCCAAGAGGTTTAAATAAGGAGTGTGACATTCCTTCTTTTCGTTAATAATTCTTTAATGTTTAATTAGTTGTTTTGGACAGTTTTTAGCTATATTTGTTGTATTATTATTTCGTTTTTCCTTGTTATATTCTGTTTTTTAATTTGTGATGTAATATTATGGCTTGTTTCTGTATTTTCGCTTTGAATATCCAATTGTATAATTTATAAATGTATTTTTTGTTTGTTTGTTTTTTCTTGTTTTCAGAAAATAGGAGATCATGCAATCTGGAAGTGTACAAAAAGGAGCACCTTACTGTGATGAACACTGTCTGATGAAGAGCCGTGTGCTCGAAACGCTTCACGCTTTGTGTCAGCCTTTTTTTATTTAAGAAATTTGTATTTTTGGAGTTTTGGTGTTGCCGCCTTTGTAAATATATATTTTGCACTGTTTGCGCTTTGGCTGAGCACCCAGTTAAAAGTGATGTGCGTGCTTTTGTACATTTGTTTACATGATCCTAGAGAAAACTGTATGAAAAAAACCACTCACCACTAATGAAAACAGGTTATGCTGCTTAATATTTGTGCGATAACCATGACACATTTAAACTTAATTATTGCTTATTTAGAACAGTTTAATCCATCATAAAGTATACAAAGTGAATAAACATACTATTTAACTAAAATACAAAAAACTGCCACCAAATTTTTTGTAGTAGTAGTATGTTGATATATATCATAATTATTTCTTAGATCTGCATGTTTATTTAATGTCAACAGAGCAGCCAAAATGTGAGTTTGCTTTACAAAAACAGATGTAGAGGAATCCCTTATTATAGACAAAACTAAATGCAGTATGTCACTAATACACCATAATTATTTCATAGTTCTGCATGTTTATTTAATGTCAACAGAGCACCTAAAACATGTTTGCTTTAATATCCAGATGTAACATGACTGCCATCTAGAGGAATCCTCTTATTAGAGACAGAACTAAATGCAGAAAGCAGTGCGTGGTTTACCTCTTGTAGGCGGAGTGGTCATTTTTGACGCTGCACTTCATGTTCTTAAGTTCATCCAGCACCGCAAACATGTTGATAAACTTTCCCAGAGTGAGCAGATAAGCTTCAGACACAAAGTCTTTCCTCCGCTCTGCATGACAGAGACGACGCACTTCACCACAAAAGCGATCTATTGCTGTCCTCTGAAAGAGAAGCAGAAGTATTAATGCACATTATAATATCCAGTATTCTGATGCAGGAAATAGTGTTAGGCTTTACCTGAAAGTACATGAAGTTCATTAGTTTGTTGACTTCGGGTTCGAGCACCTCCACAGTCTTCTCGTAGATCTCCACTCTGTTGGGTTGTTCATTACACTTCACCTGTGACAGGAACAGATGATGAGGAGGATCAAAACTATAGACTGGTTGTTGGTGATGATGGTGGTCTTGAGTTTGAATGTAAAATGCTTTGGGATTTACTAAATTACCTGAGGAATAGCTCTCGAACAGCACCTCCACGTGTACAGCATCACAGCATACTGCTGACCTTCTTCTAACATGTCATTCTGTAATGCACAGCAAACAGTTCATCATTACACTTATACGCGTTTATGCAACTGAATGCACACAGACTTCTTTTACATACAAGATGTGCAAAATAAAGCCACATAAAAAAAAACTGAATGAAAAAACGTTTAATATTGTCAATTTTTCAATTAAGCTATTCAAATAATTATGCATAATTATCAATTATCAGCACAAATATAAGTAATTATAATTATATACAGTGATAATCCTACTTATTTATTTATCCAAAAGATTAACAAAATTCCATGATATTCTGGTTTTGCAGCTAGGCATGGGCCAGTAAAAGATTTTGACAGTAAGATAACCTTGTATAAATATATCACAGTATCTCGGTATTGTGAATACTGTTCTAAAATATATTCTTTTTAAATGTTTTGGGAAAAAAAAAAAAAAAAACGTTTCCCCCCATTGAATGCAATATATTTTATTTTGAAAAACATTTAAAATATTTTGGATCAGTGAACAAGTCAAGCTAAAAAATGTATCATTAACTTCTGCTGTCAAAAACACTGATTTTACTACAATTTAAAACAGTATCTTTTTAGACATCTTTTCTGCTGGAGATATTGTTGTCCTAAAAAAAAAAAAAAAGTAGAAACAGTAGAAAATTTTATCCGTTTTAAAACCTTGACTTCCTGAAAATGGTTATTGTCCCATGCCTGTATGCAGCTACTTTAGTTTTTAGCACTGGATTCTGCTATAGTGTCTGTAATTTCCGCATCGCATAATACATATTTATTAAACAATAATAATTTATTTTCAATTCAATTCAGTTTTATTTGAATAGCGCTTTTACAATTTTCACATATGCTTGTGGATTCTCATCATGGAGCAATGGTGGAACCTAACCTTCAGAGTTGAGCGATATTATATGGTCCATTATAACCTAGTATACATTTTTTCATGCTAAAAAGTTATATTGTGATATTAATTATTAATAGGGCATATGCACAGGGACTTATTATTGTCGCTACGCCAGCTCATATAATTTCAGTTGTTCCATTATAAAATCATCTCACCTAAGATGTAATCTGATGTTTTTTTTTTTAAATAATGATCTTCACTGCCTTTGAAGTTATTTTTAATGGAGTTTCTGTGCTAACCTGCTCCTCCTGAAATGCTTGTCTTGCATCTCAATTTATGCTTAAACAACTAAATGAATGCATAAGTGTTTATCTGATTATATTTCAATTCAAGTACATTATAAATGCTGTAGGAACTTTAAAATTGAAAGTAGCCATACTAGCCTTTTGATTAGAAAGTTTATGGATGGCTGAAAAACACTAGCGGTGCATATAGCCCATTATGACCTTGTTTGTGACTATTAGGAACCTGTAAGTGAATCCTCAAATGAAACACTTTTAACTAAATTGCATTTATATTTATGTACATTAAATGTTCATTGAGTTTCAACAGTTTTATGCATGGTTCTCATTTACTGTAATTACACGCATTATATCACCCAATTGGCCAAATTCATTTCTCATTATTGGAACTGATAAATGCCTGCCCACTTAAATAACCAATAAAACATTGTTCCATGCTTTGTTCTAAAACGCCATAAATGTTACAGCAAATATTCCTTAAATTTGGTGACATTATTTTGAAGCTATTTCACCCACCCCACTTCAGAGCAAACCAAATTGTAACTGGTCATCATTTGTGGCACGTTTCTTTATCAATACACATGATGATGAGCTCTACATAATCCAGTGCTGGCACAAAACTGAGAGTTGTCCATGCAAGTTTAATGCATTAAGATGAAACTAACAAGCAATACATTAAACAGTCTTTTCTATTGTTATTAATAAAGATGTACCGCTGATAAATACAGATACTGCTTTATCACCCAGCCCTTGTAAACATACAAATAAAGATTCAACAATAGACCTTTATTGCATGTTGAATGCAATCCCAAAGAACAGATTAACCCACTTAATCTTAAAAACCCTCAAAGGAACTTAGAAGAAAATCTCCTCTAGAGTTTCCAAAAAAATAAAAAAAAAACACCTCACTGCGACTATTTAGCACCACACTCCTTCTATCTTCTCACTGATGCCAAACAGTCGCTGACAGCTATTACCTCTCAGTAATAGAGCACACAGCAGTTCACATTCAACACAAAAAGCATTCAGAGCAGCCCAGTTCGCTTGGCCAGACTCCTGTAATGAGCGCGGTGAAAGTGGACAATGAGTGATTCTAATGGGCCCTCCTGAATCCATTGAAGCCCTTGACAGACTCCTTTAGCAGGGCTTCCAGAGGGCTGGCTTGATGGACTGGTTGGGACAGTCGGGGTCAGCTTTACAGAGCTGTGATGGAGTCGAAGTTTAAGTGTAGCCAATGAAGGTGGAGTAGAACAAGCTGCTCTGTTTTGTGGAAACACTGAGAGGATCTTACCATGCTGGAGTGGACGGTGGCCTGTTCGATGTAACGGGCGATGCCGGTCACAAACGCATTGCGGTCCTCAAAGTTGGTGTTGAAGTTGGGCTGAGGGTGGCAAAAAGAGCAGCATGGTTATGCAAGCACTGTGTTGTGTTTTTAGGGTGTATAATTGGGCTGCACGATACTGGAAAAAATTTTACATTGCGACATTTTTTTCCCTGCGATATATATTATGATATAAGTATAATTTCACCACATGACTTAAATATCTTTAATTGGAAAGTCATTACGTTAGATTGATTGGGATAATTTTGTATGGGGGCGAAATATAAATCTATTTTGTCAATTCTGGTATACTTATAATAAACATTAAAAAATATATATGCAAAATAAACAAACTACCGTCATAAATAAACACAAAGGAGCAAATGTTAAAGTGAAATAAAGAGCGCTTTAGGGTTTTCTGGGCAGAGTCTAACAGTATTCAGGTACATAAATTGAATAATCAAATTTGAAAAGAGCATTGTGTAGTCTTCACCATTTAAATAGTTCCATAAAATATATCTGTTTTTAAACTTCTCCATGCTCTTCATGTTCTCTTAATTCATTAAACGCTTAAAATGTTCAAATTTGCTTTTAAATCTGTTAAATTTTCACTCTATAATGGTTAGACTTTGCAGTGACTCCACAAATCTCATGTGTTTTTGACCTGTGGTAACTATAATCCTAACTCAACACTCCACATCTTGCGATGTGACTATTGCGGACGCACATATTGCGATATCAATGCTCAAACGATATATAGTGCAGCCCTAGTGTATAATATTCTAAAATGTATTGCAGATACAGAAGAAGGGTTGCTCTTGCCTGGTAAATGAGTGAGGAGGGCAGAGGCTCGATGCAGGGCTGCTGATCTGGAAGTGGCAGCTCCTCCAGCAAGTCCACATTGGACAGAGCATCTTCCAGAGTCACTGTGGACGCCATTGCTCTAGAAGAAAACACACATACAAAAAACACATGTGAGACATGGCATGCAAGACTTCAAGCAGTGAAACCAGTCGTCATCTTAGAAATAAGAAAAAATTAAGTAATTTTCACTAGGGATGTCCCAATTTCCCAATCACTCGAGTCTGAGTCATTTGATTTTGAGTATCTAAAGATAGTGAAACCCGATCCGATACTTCTATAATGCATAATAAAAGAATAAAGAAGAGCAAAGAAACAGATCCAGGACATTCCTTCTTTATTTTATTTAATTCACCTTATTTTAACATTCAACAAGTCTGTTAACAAACAGAGCACTTCTGTGAGGTAGCTTGAACAATCAAGTAATGAATAACAACAATTCTTCACTTTTGAACTTTAGTGCAACAGTTCATATGAAAAAAATCTACTATAAAAACAAATAGCAGATCAACATAAAATACCTGGCAGGCAATGCCAAGGTTACATATCTCACAGTTTGCTATGGAAATGTTGTCATCATCAAGTTTATAATACCCCCAGACCGCAGACATACTCGCACTTTACGCTTCATGCTGCTTCTGTGTTCTACTTTTCCAGCATTTACCCAATAGCGTCTCTGCAACAAAAGTGATGTCATGCCATACGTGTAGCTGTTTCTGTCTGAAGTCAAGAAAGAGGTCTGTCACCGCATAACTATAGATGTGTTCAAAAATAATGAGAATATAAATATATATACCTATATAGTTTGAATGACTCCATATGTATATAAGAGTCTGAAACTGCATGAACTGGTCCGATTTTCGATCACGTGATCGGATCTGGACATCCCTAATTTTCTCAGATTTAATGTTTATGTGTAAAAAAATGGTAATATTATCAAATTGTAGTGAGCAGCAAAACTGGGGTTGATATTTTGATTGATTCATCACTTTTAAAGTAGATGTTCAGGTCAAGCATGTTCTCAGGCTTACAGTATTCCTGACAAATACTACGTTTACTTTAATGCTGATAATAAAGCCATTTTTTTTATGTGAAAACAATGTGTGTGCATTTTTTACTAAGTTTGTAATAAAATAACTGAAGCCTTCCTAACATTTTAAGTGCACAGTCAGTCATGCACTGTTTAACAGTAGTTTAGTATGTCCACAATCAAATTTTATATTCATTGCTGTTAATGTGTGGGACATTTTATTAATTTTAAAATCACATTAGCAAGATTAATGAAGTCACTAATAAAGTCTTTAAAACTATCAAATGACAAACCAAAGTTATCCTCAATAAGAGGCACTGTGCAAAATATGGTTGCCACTCTAAACACCTTTGATACCACAGATAGCAAGTATTACCAAAACTAAAGGAAACCATGGAAACAGAGCAAACACAAACAAATGGTTTAATAGTCAGCAGGGAAATAAAATATAACCTCAAAACGAGCAACAGGAAAAACCTTGTCGCAACTACAGGCAACATTTTCACACCTCACAGAATCTGCTGTCAGAAAGAAAGTGCCCTCTGCCTCTTATTTCCTCTTAAAATCTCATAATCATGTCCTAATTCACTATGCAACAAATCTCTTTCCTTATAAAGGGCCATTCATGTTGGCAGTGATTTGACAGAATTTTCCAACTACTACTGCAAAATGCATCTGTTTGTCATGGTAAATGGCTGTTAAACTTCTGTATATACACACACACAATGGTGTGAAAAAAAGTGTTTGCCCCTTACTGATTTCTTCTTTTCTTTGCATGTAAGTCACACTTTAATGTTTCAGATCATCAAACAAGTTTAAATATTAGTCAAAGATAATGCACGTAAACGCATCATGCAGTTTTGAAATGAACATTTTTATTAAGGGAAACCAAATTTCTAAATGACATAGTCCTGTGTGAAAAAGCATTTGCCCCCTAAATCCCCTAAAGTCACCCTTAGCAACAACAACTGCAATCAAGAGTTTTTAATAACTTTAAATGACTCTGTTACAGCACTGTGGAGGAATTCTGGCCCATTCATCACTGCAGAATTCTTGTGATTGAGCCACATTGGAGGGTTTAAGCATAAACTGCCTTTTAAAGGTCATGCCAAAGCATGTCATTCGGTTTCAGGTCAGGACTTTGACTAGGCCACTCCAAATACTTCATTTAGTTTTTCTCCAGCTATTCAGAAATTGACTTGCTGGTGTGCTTTGGATAATTGTCTTGCTGCAGAACCCAAGTTTGCTTCAGCTGGAATCACTAACAGATGGTCGGACATTCTCGTACAGGATATTTTGGTACACAGCAGAATTCATGGTTCTATTTATCACAGGAAGTCTTCCAGGTTCTGAAGCAATAAAACAGATCACCACACTACCACCATCACATTTAATTTTTTGATATGACTTTCTTTTACTAAATTGCGATGCTACTTTTATACCATACATAATGAGACACACATCTTCCAAAAAGTTCAATTTTTGTCTCGTTAGTCCACAGAGTATGTTCTCAAAAGTCTTAAGGATCATCAAGATGTTTCTGGCAAAGCTGAGACTAGCTTTTATGTTATTTTTGCTCAGCAGTGGTTTTCATCTTTTAACTCTTACCATGCAAACCATTTTGTTCAGTCTCTTTTTAATGGTGAACTCATGAACACCTTAACTGAGGCAAGTGATGCTTGCATGTTGTTATGGGCTCTTTTGTGACCTCTTGGACGAGTTGTCACTGCTCTCTTGTGGTAAATTTGGTTGGACTGCCATTCTTGGGAAGGTTCTCCACTGTTCCATTTTTTTCGCCACTTTTTCACACAGGGTTATGAAGTTTTGGACTTTGTTTTCACTTTATAATAAAAACATTAAGCCATTTAAAAACTGCATGATGTGTTTACTTGTGTTATCTTTGACGAACTTTCAAAACAATAGGAAATCAGTTAGGGGCAAACACTTTCACACGACTGAATTAATGCTATGGCTGACAGGACAACTGAGGGTCATCAAAACAGGAAACAAGCTGCAGGCCTGAGGAAGTGGAGATGGGCTACTGTGGTCTTTGTAGAGAAAAGCAATCCTAAACCTCAGATTAAAAACTGCACATTCTTTTATTTCAGTTTAAATCTGATAATAAGATCCATTTCTGCTAACCTGTTCACAACTGGATGATGCTAAATACAGGCGCCATAAGGGTCTGAAATGCATTTAGCGTGAAATGCATGTTAGCGTGTTTGAATTACCGTTAATTAAACGTTAAAGCTTCCATTAAAGTGACGATGAACAAAGAGAGAAGAATCAAAACAAAAACAACACAGAGACTCTTCACCTGACCATGGTGGAGCATGGTGTAGGGAGTTAACAGAGTGTGAGGAACTAACTGGAAAAAAAGCAGAAGGAGATACTCGACCCGGAAAGAGAGCAGGCCTCTGCAGTCTATCATGAAGAACAGAGAAAGTCTCTGGAGAAACAGAGAGGTTAGACACGAACACACACACGCACACACACACACACACACACACACACACACACACACTGACACACACTGACACACACTGACACACACTGACACACACTGACAGCTGCTTCTGCCTAGAGCTTTTGACTGAGCAGCTGTACTGAAAAATCACACCCATTGAATTAAAAACATGTTGACCTTCAAACACCGTGTAATGAGATGAGATGAGTAAAAGCCACTTGTAGACTGACTTCATGAAGGAAACAAATGAGCAGATCTACTTATAAACAAAGTGGTGAAACTTGAAATCCCACACTCCTGAGCATTTAAATCTGGAAAATGAAAGGGAGAATGAATTCTGATGTTAGACTAAAATAAAAACAAAAATCTGTCAAAAAAAAATCAAACGATGCATTTTAAAATTCAATTGAACACCAAAAAAAAACACAAAATATTTCATGTTCTGACCAATGCAAAAACCATTTTAGGACTCTTTTAATAGATCTATTAAGACAAAATCAACTCATTAGTATTACAATTTACAATAAATGGCTGACAAACCAATATGAGTCCATAACAGTGTACCGATGCTTTTTGGAAATTGCAGACCATTACTAAAAAAATCTAAATTAATAACAATTATGCAGCCCTAATTGGGTTGTCACAATACTGAAATGTGCAACTTTGATACAATAATTTGAAAAACATTAATATTGTATAGCATTTTGATAATGTGAGGACACCCCTCCACACACACAAAATGAGTAGTTCATTCATTTATTCATTTTCTTTTCAGCTTTATCCCTTTATCAATCCGGGTTCGCCACAGCGGAATGAACCGCCAACTTATCCATAATGTTTTTACGCAGCGGACACCCTTCCAGCCGCAACCTATCTCTGGGAAAAAATGGGTACTATATATTTTTTATTCCATTTTTTCATTAATACTTTATATAGAAGGCTTTTTTTTGGTAATGGCAGCTTAAAGACTCCTCTCATAGGGAAAATGAAGTCATTGTTCAGGTGTGGGTTTATCACAGATATCAACAGAGTGTAAAAATCTTGACGGTTCTATGGGTCTTGTCTATCAAATCTGATCTTTAGTTTTTATTGGATTGGAGTCAGGTGTATTACAAAGTATTACTTTGCAAAGTGTACTGTAAATTATTATGTTCATAAATCATATGAACATTTTCATACCAGTCAATTCTATTACTGAAATTCATTTTAAAATTGAATATAAATTTAAACACATTTACACAAGTAAATAAATAGACTAGATTTCTCTGCACACAGATTCCACATAGGCCTACACATAATTTAATTTGTAAACTATTAAATTTGTTTTCCTTGCATATATGGATTTCTTTGGTTGTTATACATCTGGGGAAAAAAAGACAGCAGCACTTTTAGCTAAATGTTTTCAGCGAAAAATGATGACATGTTTTTTAATTATTATTATTAAAGATAAATAAAGCTAGAACATGAGAATGAGGTATGTATTTACATCAACACAAACATCTTGTAGTAGCACACCGGTTTAAGAGTAAATCTTTGTGATTGCAACCTCAAAATGCAATAAATATGATTTATATTTTTGCCAACA